AGAACCAATCGAATAGTGTCTACGAGCTTTGCTTAAGACACGACTTCAACAGCAAAGTGACAAATGGGAGCTGACAAATGGGAGCTGACAAATGGCTGGGTGCTGATACAAGTATAAGGACTGGTAGGGTTGTTCTTGGCTGCAAGCCATGTCAGAATGACACCATGGTGGATGCTCAGCAAATGTCACGGGTATTTCCCCTTACATGTACCAGCCAGCCCTTGGACAGACTCTGGAGCCAGACTGGAGGCTCACGGGCCACCTGTATATATTCCTCACAAACCTTGAGGCTCAACCATCAAGGATTTGTCTAATCTCATCCCATTTGGCCCCAGGCGGCCCCAATCCATCCTGTGTCTGTGTAAGGAGGTGCCTTGCACTATGCCTATATATTAGATGCAGAGCCCAATATCAGCAGTTGTGCTGATATTGATGTACTTTTTGGCCATTTGGCACAATGGGGCTCTGCATTGTTACAGTCTGATTGCCTGCCTACAGTGACCTCACAACTAAGCTAACAACACTAGATAATCTATTGCAATAGCTATAGGCAGCTTCAAGCAATATTTGAGCTTCTAATAACCATGTATGAACGTGTTGTGTGAGCGCTTGTATGGGTGGTGTTCTGCCAAGCTTTTTGTGAGTGGGCGTTTTTTAGTACTGCGAGTGCCAGCCTAGTTGTGCTGTACCGTGCACGGTCACCCAACGCCCGGATTCAACCAACACCCGCTCCAAGCCTTCACGCCTACCACAAAAATGAGGTTGTAGAGCCACATACAATGGTTATTATTATAAGAAAACTTGGTGGTTTGTTCTATAGACCTATGCAACAAAGTTCCTCCATACAAATCAATTATATAGGGTGGCGGTACGGCCGCTGCGGGTTGTGTGAGTGCGAGCTGGCGGAGGAGGCGTTGCAGGCTTTGGACAACTACGAGCACCTACAGCACGACGTGCAGGCTTCTTTTTGGCTGCAGAAGCTTTTGAGGTTATGCGATTACCTCTTTGGGACAGTTGTATAGCTTTTTCAGTGTCGTGAACTTGCTTTTGACGCTCTCGCTCTGCCTTGCGTTCAGCTGCTTCTTGGGCCTTCACAGCTTTCAGCTGGTCTCGCTCTTCCTTCTCCCTCACCCGCGCCACACGCTTTTCATCTGCTATCTTGGCTTTGTAGAGCTTATTAGCGGCTTTTAACTTCTTCATTTCAGCCTTTTTTAGCTCATCAGCTTGCTTCTCTTGTTCTGCAACAGCCATGCAAGCGCGCGCCTTGCGGAAGGCTCGAGGAGACCACATCATTGCTCCGCCGTGATACTCCTGGTGTTGTTGCAAGTCCAATTGCTTATTGGATTGCTTCTGACGCTTCTGATTTTGGTATAGCTTCTTGCGCAGGCCTTCAATCTCATCGTGAAGGAGCTCTACCTGTGTTGAGAGGTGATGGATAGTTTGACCCAGCTTCCGTGCACCTACACTGCGCGGATCCTTCACCTCTGCACGTAGGGTTGAGCAAGCCCTGAGCCACTCGTCTGCAGAATAAGCCGTAGAAGCAGAGGAGACTGATCCTGAGTCCTCAGGGGTTATGTGGCGGAACCTATTGAGTATAATGTTGGGGTTTACTGGGTATATACCGGTGGCTGTGAAGGCCTTCTGTACAAGCTCCGCATTGAACGTAGATACCCAGGCAGGCCAGAATAGGCTGAAGAAGTCAGCCTTCGACAGCGGGGATAGGCCTTGGGATTGCTGGAGGTGGTCATCGAGTTCGCTGGCGTAGTGAGAAGAGAGAGGCTTGAAGCAGACTACATCCAACGGCTGCAGAGTCTGGGTACTGTGAGGGGGTAACACTGCAAGTATGATCCGTTCCTGGTGACAGTATTTGATGAAAGCCTGCGTCAGGTGACTACCATGGCCATCTACAATCAAGAGGCGGTACTTCAACCGCGCCTTTGGCTTGGTATAGCGGTCAAACACCTGTTCAAGCCAGGCCAATCCAATGTCGTCGTTTGTCCAGCCTTTAGGCAAAGAAGCCACGTGAATTAGGTGTGTTCCTGCCTCGATATCGGCAACCCAATGTCTCTGGATGGTCGAGTTTTTCGACTCAAAGATGATACCAGGAGGGAGAGCAGTACCATCCGCGCAAATTGCAGCCAACAGGCTCACCCACTCACGTGAGCCATCTTGACGAGCCTGCCTAACCTCCTTCTTCTCATATTGACGCCTGCTGAAGACGCGCTTCGACCTGCCCAGCACTCCAACAGCAAAGCCCTTCTCATCCATATTGTACGTGTGCTCAGGCTCAAGGTCATACTCGGCTATTTTCTGTTGCAACAAGTCAAAGTACAGCTTGTACTTATACTCTGACTCAGCGTTGTGACGATTATGTCATCCTGACATGGCTTGCAGCCAATAACAATCCACCCAGTCACACCTCATGGAACATCATGGAACCTCATGGAACCTCATGGAATCCCATGGAACCTCATGGAACCCCATGGAATCCCATGGAACATCATGGAACCTCATGGAACATCATGGAACCTCATGGAACCTCATGGAACATCATGGAATCCCATGGAACATCATGGAATCCCATGGAACAACACAGAATCTTCTAGTTGCTGACAAATGCTGACAAATGATTACAAATGATTACAAATGCCAATGTATCTAGAACATTCCAGGAGCCAGCAGTCTGTCTATAAAGGCAGCCTGCCCTCCTGCTCAGATAACTCATGCTTGCAATTCAAAACTCAATCCACTCCTTCAATTTACCTCAACAACTTCTTCCTCAACTCACTCCTCACTGATCCTTTGTGGTATTCCCACACTTGATCCCTTCTTTATCACTTATCCTTTTTACCACTTGGGGTATCCCCACACTTGGTCTCCTCTACACCCTTATCTCCAACAAGCCTGAACCATCCTTCCACCAATCCTTCCATCTCAGAGAGCAGTTGGTATCCCCAGCTGGCCCCCTCTCACAGATTAGAGTCCATACCCGTTGTCCATTGAGCCGTGAGCTGGTCGCTGTGACGGTTGAGGAAGCGTGTAACCCAGCTATTGGAGCAGCGATCTGACACAACTGCAGACGCAAAATTTTGCACCATGTCTCTTGTAGGTGGTAAGCGACGTGCTGTGAGCTCCTCTATATACCTCACAAGGTCTGCTTCTTGTTGGTCGCTGAGTTTGCGTTGGTTGTGGTTGGCGACGTGTTGGGGGACCTGCACACGCCTATGCGCGCGCAACAACGTTGTGCAAGAAACACCATGATTTTTTGCAATTGTAGTATAGACAAGTTTTTCATCTGGCTTCAATTTACGAATCTGCTCAAGTGCATCTTTAATTCCTGGCATGGTTGTTGAGTTATTACGCGTTGAAATAACGTCTATGTGTGGTGCACCGGGCGTTGGTTGAATCCGGGCGTTGGGTGACCGTGCACGGTAGGTGCTCATAGTCACCCGAAGCTTGCAATGCCAACCCCAGCACCTTGCACTCACAAGACCCGCAGCGGCCGCACCGCCACTCTATATAATTAAATCACATAGAGACACTTTGTTGCATAGGTCTATAGATCACTCCACTAAAATATCTCATGATAATAACTATTGATTGTGGCCCTACAGCCTCATTTCTGTCATGCTTGTAAAGGTGCCGGAGCGATCGTTGGTTGACTCCGATCGTTGGGTGCACGGACACCGTAGTGCGGGAGCAATCGGTCCGAAAGCTGCCCACCCTTTCCCCTCGACTCTGCTCTACGCGACTTCTTCTATCTCTTACTATCGAAATACTCAACCCTTCTACAGTACGTGTAGGAGTGGATCCATCGACTCTCCCGTTAAAGTATCACTCCTCTCAGAAATCCTGATCCTAAAACCTTTCAATGTGGCGCGTCGATGTACAAGATGCACAAGTCCGCTGAACAAGAAGAGCACGTCGGTTATAGCTCGCGTTCTCGAATGACAATATTTTCAGGTTGAATGTCGCGATACGAACTAGACTCTCTTAGCGCTGAAATTGGGATGCGCTGCTCTACTGAAGCGAGGAGCGTCTCGTTGTTCGACGACGTGTTTCGCGCCAAGTCGCAAACAGAACTCCGGTTCCCACACACTTTGTTCCAAACAATGTTCTCTGTCTCCAGTCTCTGAGGTATCCGAGTACTGTTGAGACCGGACTCGTCGCCGGATGAGATCTGCCCGGATCTGCCTGTCGTGCCCGAGGCTTGATTCGTGACACTGTTCCTGTCGCGTACCCCGAAGGGACCTCCCGGGAGTGTCACTCAAGCTTCACAACTGTCGACCTCAGCTTTTGGGTTGGCAGTTCGCAAACGGTCTGCCAATGGTAAGCCTTGCTAATCCTATAATTGACACTACGGATTCTTGTTATAGATCAACCTCTTGTGCTGGAAGCTTGGCTGTATTTGTGTTCGCCGGAACTCAGGCTGCACCAACTAAGTGTTCGGCAGCCTCACCATCCGCCAATGTGTAGCGCACCATTGCTTTCCTCAACTAGCAGCGAAAGATGGTTCCGATGACTGAACATGAGACGATACCAAATGCTAGGGGTCGTGAATAGTACAGACCGTATGCGCCAGTCGAGAGATTGTATCACGTCCGTTTGCCCGAAGCGCAATGTATCCGGGGCCATAGTATGCCTGGTATAACATGTGCCCAGTCGCCTTTCAACACCCTCTTTCATAAGTCTTTGCAATCTCGAACTCCTTAGAGCTAATTCATAGCCGTTCACACTGGTCACTATGCGTACTAGCAGATTTTGTGCAGCTGCTCTTGTCGCCAGCTTCGCCTCAGCGGCACCTACTGCCAAGCGACAGTCTGGTCTCTCACCAGATGGCAACTACTTTCCACTCCCAAACGGTTTCCCAGATTCCAACAGGGATGGCGAAATCACAATTCAGGACGGCGCACATGGTACCTTACCAAACGGACCACCTCCAACTGCACTCAGCGCGGAAGGAGTCACCAACCTCAAGCTCATTGCGCTGAACGAGCTTTTCGAAGTGGCCTTCTTCACAGAACTCATATACAACGTCACAAATAAAGTCTCTGGTTACGATCTAGGAATGGGCCATGACTACATGCTGGACTCACTGAACGCCATTGTCAATCAAGAAGAACTGCATGTACTCAATGCGAACGGCGCACTTGAGCACTTCAATCAAGAGAAGATACAGCCATGCAAGTACAACTGTAAGTCTTTCATAGGAATAGTCCTCACAAGCCCAGAATAACACCATCACAGTCCCAGTCACAGACTTCCAATCCGCCATCGCCCTAGCCGGCACCTTCACCGACGTCGTTCTCGGCACACTTCAAGACGTCAACCAGATCTTCGCCAAGAATCAAGACGACGGACTTGTCCGCGCCGTGACATCGGTCGTCGGCAACGAAGCCGAACAAGAAGGGTTCTTCCGCCTGATGCAAAAGAAGCGCCCTTCTTCCCAGCCTTTCCTAACAACAGCAACCCGCGACTTCGCATTCACCGCTATCCAGGACTTCATCATCGAAGGGTCTTGTCCAAACATCGGCACTATCCCGCTGAAGAGGTTCAAGCCGCTTACTGTGGAGACGAAGATGATTCCGGCGGAGGACCAGAATATCAAGTTCTCGTTTTATATGAAGGATGCGGGGATGTACGATACGAATGATATGCGGCTAACGTATCTGAATGGACAGAACCAGCCGATCGTCAAGACGTTTGAGAACGTGAAGATGGAGGGCGAGAAGGTGTTCTTTGAGGCCCCGTTTCCGTATGATGATTTTCTTATGAATGGTTTGACTATCGCGGCGGTCACTATGGGCGCGGAGGAGTTTGAGAATGCGGATAAGATGGCTGAGGCTGCGGTGTTTGGGCCGGGGCTTATTGAGGTCGATTGAGCTTTGCCCTTGTGGTTGATGGAAGTTGGTTGGGTGGTTTATTGCATAGCGCTGGCGTTTTTTTGACGCCTTAAGGAAGCCCTTGTCAAACGTATAATGTCTACACAGTATGCCTCGATGGCTTGTCAAATGGTCCAGAAAGGAGGTTGCCATCGATGTCATATATCGGTTTTAGCTCACTTGTTGACCATGTGACAGGATTCTTCGGTGTAATTCGTGTCGGTAGTTTGATCGTGTTACCCATGCTCCTCAGAAAGTCTTTGATCGAACTTGGCCACTCGGGGTCGTTCCATACGTCAAACACTAGTTTCATGTATTCTGGATCTGGCATCTCACTTTGTCGTAGGTACATCAAGGCTACGCCGAGCGGGAACGACACGGCTGAAGCACCTGTAACACCGTTGTCCTTTTTGAACAGCCAAGGCACGGAACGTACGATAAGGCGAGCAAAGGGTCGGCCGCGTGGACAGTTGAGGTACGGCGGGAGAGTATCGTTTGACGAGAAGCGTAAGGCACGGTCGAGGCATTGGTACAGTAACGTTGCTGTCGCCCAATAACGGAGGGAGAGCGACGCAACACTTAAGTTAGGAAACTCGAGTGGAATTGGTGCTTCGATGTCAGGGGTGTAGACTTCATGCGAATTTTTCGCGAACCATGCGTTTAGGTTGCAGTGTACAGCCCAACATTTTGCCGTTATTTTTAGCCTTAGATCGTCGAAACGCTCATCGCCAAACGACATGTGATCCAGGTAATCCAGTTCTGCGAGAACCTCTGGCAGTCCTAGGAGGATGTCGATGATGGTGTCGCTTGCGGGCTTGACTCGCCCTCGCCATGGAATTGTCTTCCACTGTTCCTCATCGAACACAACCGGCTTTCGAGACCGGACCCCAGTGATGGCCTGTCAGTCCGTGAGTGAGAGCCGAAAAGAGAGCGATCGGGCGTTGACTTACAGAATTGTATCGTGCAAGCGTAAACATAAGGTGCGCAGCATCCGTAGTAAAAGCCTCAGGTCCTCTAGATACAATCAAGGCGAGCTCACCCTGAGCATGGGTCATCCAGTTCCTCGCCTGTGTCAAGTTCTCTCCATTATCAGCACCGTACAATATCTCGTAAAGTCCCATCAGTCTTGTCGTGGCGAGTAGAGCCTCAATGGTTGGTCGGTTGGGGTTCTGCAGTGATACTCCGAGCTCCTGGAGCGCTTTACCATACAGCATCCGACCTTTGCGAAGCACAACCTGGTCATTCGATCTTTTCCCGAGCGTGACTAATCCAACAGCAAAGATTGTCTGACGAAGTGCTTCTTCTCGCAGACTCAATGTCGCCAGAAGCTTAGAAAATGGGTTGACCAATTGCAAGGCGCCTCCCGCGTCTTGATACGCAGGAAACAGGTCAAAAACAGCCTCCATACCTTTCGCACTGAACGCAGTCTGCGCAAGAGATGGAGGTATCACGTGGTAGGAGGAGGCCGTAACTGCCGCCAAATCCATTGTGGGGTCTCGACGTGGGGTTGGTCGGGTGCTAGCCAGAGGTGATGGAGGCTCATACTTGCTGGTGATGAAGACGCGGTCTAGGTCGTAGCCTCCACATACGATATTCCGCTCAAGGCATTGGCTGCAGGCAGGTCGTTTCAAGTCGCACTTCACTCTGTCAGTATGGCTCAAAATAGCAGCGGCTCTTCATCTCAACGGGAAGGAAGCCTTCACTTACACCCTTCTTCCTCTTCCTGCACGTCACACACCCCTTAGATCTTCCCGGAACGCCCACCATCGTCGCATATACAACCTATCGCGAGTACGTTGGGCACGAAGGAGTAGTAGCAGCGCACAATTCTCCGCATTGGGGAATCTATCGCGCTTTAACGCCCGTACCGTAAGATACGCACAGGCCTACTCAGATCTGAGCCGCTGCGATTCGCAACGGTCCAAACAGTCGGTGATGCAATCAGCGCTCGCAAAGTAAGCAACACGTGCAGCATGCGAAGTGTGAGCGAATGGCGGGAGTAAGGCCTCCCATTTCCCCCTCGCTTTTCGTGCAGGGTTAGCCGGTGAGACTTCGCTTTGGGCACATTCTGCGCCAGGCAAGTTTACACGGATGACGTTCACAGTCCACATCCGCGACTGCGATCTCAGAGCGGGCTTGATCGATGAAAAGATGCGAAAAGGCCCGTCCGCGCTTCGCTTCGTGCCGCAGCAGATCTACGCGAAGATCAAATACGCTGACAAGGATTGCGGCAGGGTGCGAATGCTTACGAATGTAGGCTGGATCTATTATTGCGAGTCGCCTCATCGTGATCATCGCGGCGACGATCATATCGACAAAGGCCACTACATTGTCTGGCCTTGGGCAAAGATCGCCCATACTATTGCTGATGACATGGATTTGGTGGCTGAGTACTCTGCTTGCGCATCATACGCAGACGGCAGCGACCCGACCAAAGTATCTGCGGTCCTTGCAGATATCAACGGTGATGCTTCCGCCGCGAACGCAGGTGCAGCACTGGACGTGAACTTTGGTATGGCGTTGTGGCTCGCGTTTGCGGTGCATGCGGTCGGTATCGAGGTCTACGCAATTCATCTCGCCTATGATGGTGAAGATATGAAGCTGACATATATGTAGCTGCATATCACTCCCAGAGAAGCCGAACGCTTGAGACGGATCAGCTACACACGACAACTCGAAGCTGGCATGCATAACCTTGGTTCTGCCGGTTTGACTACCGATCGACATGGTGATGCGAAGCCATGGTTGCTGAGGTTAAGAGAGCGAGCAATGATACTCTGTTGGCGAAGCTGGATGACAATGTGGTAGTAAAGTGGTTGATCCGGTCCTTTCACTGTATTATTGATCTTACAGAAGCCTATAGAATTAGTCTTTGATCATGACTTCTCTGTGGTGTCGCTACTCAGTCAACAGGTCAAGTTGACTCAGGCGAGATGGGTGTTTTAAAATCCCAACTTATACAATTGTATATTCGCGCAAGCCAAACTCCTCAAAGTCGTCCCACCTCGCCCCAGGGTCAGTATTTTTGACAAACTCATGCCATAATCATGATCGACCACAAACGCAAGATTGTCCATAGTGTACACCTGCTCACCGCCCGTCTTCTTGAAGAGTGGCCGAAGTATAAAAGGATAGTTCATGCCAAAGAGCCCGACCACAATATCACCGGGTTGCACAGCGGTCAACGGCCCGGGATGATATAAGCGTCTACGTGTTCCTCTTAGCGACGAACATTTTTCGGTGCCAAGTGTGTTCAGTATATCGTGAAACCGCTCCCAGTATGGGTCATTTGAAGAATCACTCCAAGAATCGTACACTTACTCAGGTTCACAGCGCTCAGCAAGAACTGTCTCGAATACTTCGCGGTCGACAATATCGTCACGAGTGCGAAAAGCAGCCCTCTAGGATTTTAACGATATGTGTCGAGGTCTAAGTATATCGTTGTAAAAATCATGCACGTTCGCAGCTGAACAAATCTGTACTGGACGCAGCGACAGTCCCGATGTAAAGGCCGGCAATATGCAGTCGTTCTAGGCCTTTCGAAAACCGTGCGCGTGGCGGAAAATGAGAGATACCTTCAGCAGGAATACCGTCGTCAAATTTAGAAGGGAACAACTGATTGATCGTTCTCGTCGAAGCTTGCAATTGGCGTCCGAGATGGAATAGCCAGATCGAATGCCCACGACGGAAGATGAATGGGTATAACGGAAGGCCTTAAAGGTATATTAGGTGGTAGGCGTAGTGGGAACTATCATGTATGGGAGTTCGCTACCCAACACCATATAACAGGAAGCTTCGATCAATATCTGTCGTATAATTTTCGAGTAGTCCGGAATGATCAGCATCTGAGGTGGAAATATGGTACAGATATCGAGTAATCCATAGACTTGGTCTCGTGGATCAGTTGCCTGCAATTCAGCAGCTTTGTACAACTGATCTATGAGATTAGCGGTTTTACGTTCTCTGATATCTTGGGAACCTTGAGCTTTCAAGATCGCCAATAAAGATTCATTGGCAGCCTTTGCCGGCCGCTGTTTGAAAGCATAATGTATGTCGCGCTCGACTTATACAACGTCGAGATAATCGAAGAAGTCGTTCCAAAAGAGCCTCCCAAGAACCGAGTTGCAGTACAGGCTACGTTTCGCAAGAACGTCTTCCTGTGTTACTCAGATGCGGCCAAACCAGGAACGTCGACATAAACGCCTCAGAGCTCTCATCAGATATATCGCCTCTCCAGTTGATTCCGGGATTCAACGATGCTTGATGTTATCGACGATATATTGATCATTCGAGCGCTCTGTGCCTAGCCATACCGTGACGTGTTCTGCAGACACAAGTATATCACCCATAAGCTGAGCCCGTTGGCCTCGTTCTTCGGTGTCGCCTCGGTTGATGCACAGTGCGTCTATCCAAAGTAAGTGCCGCTCATCGTGTTGCGAAGCTGGAGGAGGGCACATTGGGGGGACATCTCTCTTTTCCCCAAACGTACGATAGAGCGTTGAACTTTGGTCGCTTCCGTCGAAGTCTCTTGATGCGTAGGGTTATAACCAGGTCGTCCTCGTATTCGTATCACCTACATTCTTGGGTCCGGGGGCGTGTAGGGTGTATCATCCATAGTGTGACTTGATAAAGCGTAGCAGAGCCGGAATGTGACATCGACTAGTATGCAAATGTGCCTTCTTATGATGTGATGAACAGGAAGTGCGCGACAAGGCTGAGGCAGGAAATCACTGTGCAAGGTGGGAGGGTTGAAGGCGCAGCAGGCGTGCAACTGACGCAGCCTTGCAGGCGCTTACTTGCTGGAGTCCTCCGCATCGAGGTCGCGTCGCTATTGGCGAGCTGACAACACCTGGCCCGCTCGAAGCACTGTTATCTTGTGATAATAGCGCGCAGCTTTTCAAGCGCTTCGTGGTAGAAAACAAGCAGAAGTTACCATGGTGTATAACTCTCCCGATACCGGTCGAAGGACAATTGGGAAGTTGGTGTCTAACAGGCAAAGACGCGCTGTATCGATTTCGTGTAGTCTGGAGCCACTACCGCTTGACCGGGTGTGAAGGCACAAATACCAAGCAGGCCAAAGACTTCATCTCTGGGATCGGTTGCGAGAGTAGGCGCTGAACGATAGAATTGTGAATTCAGCCTTGTTGCGCGGAAAGCCCGAACTCGCCGAGTCTTCTCACTTGATCCGTGGTTTGCATGAGAGAAAAGATCTTCGCAGGACATTCAGAGAAGACGGTTTTCTCCGTTTCAAACACACGATATATTCGTAGAATTTTGACTAAGAGAGTGCCATTGTGTCCAGATATACCGTCGGGTCTCTCTGAGACAGTGCCAATTCCTGAGCAACCCAGACCCTTCCAAACCATGGGCGTTGGCATATAGACTCGACACAGGCTAAAAAAAGACGGATCTCTTCTGCTGATTGAGGCACTTCATCGTCCTGGATACGCGCTATGGCGTTCGTGTCACACGGATGCTCGGGGCCTAGGGTTATAAGTACGCGCTCCACTAGAGAATGTTGCGGTGTATATAACCTTCAGGACCCCAGGGTCGGGGAGGTCGGCCTTTTTGTATTGCTGCGGGGCCGCGATAGAGAATATATGTCCTTCATCAGCAAAAATTGAGAATTTCTTTCTTCAAGATCGTGCTGATTGAGACATAGCGTATCAACCCACATTAACGTTGGTTTGGCGAGATTGCGGCGAACGTGGTGAAGGGTGCAGTCCAGATTGATGCCAACAGTTGTATTCCTACCATCAACTAACGCCTTCCGAGACGATAGATCCTGGCCCCATGCATACGATAGTGCATGATACTCAGAAAGCTCGTGATCAGGCTTTCGACGTGAAGGACAACGATGAGGTCGTCATCATAGTTCTCGGGTGCTAGCTCGAGAAACCAAATCTCGCGCTGAGTTGGATCGAGTAGAGTATATGGCGTGTTCTTGTTGCTAAATGATAAGGCAGCTAGGTTTGACTCGATGTAGGTTGTGGCGGTTAATGTCTTGCGCTGTAATGTGCTTCGGTCAACTTCGCTTGATCCTGACCGAGGGCAAGAGCCACCAAACAGGGGATCATGGATGGCGAAGTGTTGCAGCACAGTGAGGCTGAGTATAAACGGACCGATATGGTACTCCTTCATACGATTACAGTAACACAACCGTTTCACGGTCAAACCTCCGTACTCACACTGTTTAAAAACGCAGCTTAGTTCAATTCAACTTCAGTGAACCTCAATTTCCATCGCCCGATACCGATTGTACCCGGAACCGTCATACGAAACCATAGCAAACCCACGGCAAGTATATGACAGGAGCACGCGTGTCGCCAATGCCAATTGTGCATCTCAGAGCATGTCACGTTGGTAGAAATGGGGCTCTGAGCGCAGATACGGGGTTGCTGCCAACAACATCGTTTGCGTGGGAGGAGATGTAGTGTGGTCGTGGAAGACTCCACGCGTTCCTCACCACCTCTCACACCCCAACCTATCGACTTTTCAAAGTCAACAACAACACCACTGGAGCCACCATACCTCAACAACAGCACGTAACGGATATCAGATTCAACTCCATCAAAGGAACGGAGGTGTCTCGTCGTGCGCGAATTGGGTCGTAACGGCCCATGATAGCTTCGACAAGCACTTGCAACCTTGAACAGAGTTTGCTGTTGAGATATCCGAGATTATGTGGTAAAGTTGTACAAAGTAGATGATGGATTAGGTGTGACCAACGAAAACTCTTCTATGCGAATGCAACTCTTCCACTCAAAGCTTCAGATATCCCCAGAGTACTGCATCCCCTCCCCTTTAAACGCCCCATGAAACCCAAACGCCACCGGCCCCGGCACCTCCGCTCTCCCCAACTCCATCAAATCCCTCGCCCTCAACACAAGCAAATAACTCCTCTCCACATACCCATCGAGCACAACTGTCAAGAGCACGCCATCATCCTCCGCCTTGCCCTCAGGATCCGCAACGAAGATTGGCTCCCCGGGCGTATGCCCCTCGCACTCCCAAAATATCGAGGTTTGTGTGATATTATCGAATTTGGCGATCCCGTCCATGAATGAGGACTTCAAGCGATCAGTGACGCCGTATGTGTACCGGTGGCGGCTGGTTAGGTAGGAGGGATTGATGGTGGGGAGTTCGACGGAGATCATTTTGTCTGCTAGGAAGAGGCGCTCTGCTTCTCTGTGCTCGGAACCAGTGGTAGGAGAAGAGACGTTTGGGAGCCGGAATTGTGCCTGCATGGGCAGACAAGAGAGGCGCTTCTTGCCGGCGTATTCTGAGTCTGGAGTCGATAGCGAGGACAGGAGATTGTCGTAGTAGAAGCGGTGGATTACGTCGGTGTTTTCGAAGAGGGAAAGTTCGGTGATGACATCCGTTTGGGTAGGGTCAGTGGTCGATGGCTCCTCCCAGGCGTTGACGCTGTGAAAAGAGAATAGAGCTGAGCTTTGGTATGCGGCTACGAGCCCGCGGTTGTGCGTGCGGTCGATCACGTACCATGTTGCTTTAGAAGTGGGATCGAAAGGTGCGATAGCCTGGACTATGTTTTGATGATACAGGATGGAGGTGCCGGCCCAAGTAAAGTGGCTGTTCCAGACACAAAGGATCACATAGTTCTCGGTGAGAAAGAGCGAATGGATATATGCCGGTGTGCCATGAAAGGTCGCAAGGATGCCCGTCTTGCCAGTAGACGCCGAGCTGCGGAAGATGCGATAAGTGGAATTCTTACCGAACTCCAGGTTGAAGTTGAAGATGTCGCCTGTTTTGGGATCAGATTTGGCGTGGGCAGCAGATATGTGCCCCTTTAGATCAGGGTGCAGAGACTCCTGAAGAGCGATGCCTTGGGGTTCCAGAGTCTCGGGATCTATCTTCTTCACCATGTGGTGGTCGCTCTTTGCGTGTAGGGTCTGGATGCCGTTTGTATGACCGTTGATCGGAGGTTTCTCCACGCCCCCGGCTCGGCCGCCACCAGGCATATTAATCGAGAGTGTCACGCCCACATTCCTGTTATCGCGTGCTGGAGGCACGAAAACGGCCATGACTTTCTTGAAGAAGCTATTGCATGGGTCCCGCTTCAAAGCAAATGTAAGGCCTTCACCTTTGCCAGTTGCACGAACATGCTCGAGATACTCATCCACGGTCCTTCGAGATCTGTAGCTGACTTTTGCAGGTCCATGTGTATCAGGGAAGTCTATCTGGAACCGATGAACAGCAGAGAACCCGTCGAACCAATGCTTCGCTGCGAATTCTCTGCCATTCTCGGATTTGGCCTTGTAGCCTAGTGGCCCGGTTCGGTATAAGACACCGGCCGCGTAGTGTGGAATGTCACCCTTAACCCTTAACGTTATGGGTACGAGTTCTTGGTAGGCTGTGTCGAACCCAGCGTCATTCGGCCAGGACCCCATTGTCGTATATCAATGTTCGGAGCGGATGTAAGGAATGGATTTTTGAACTTGGTCGCCACTCGGCCTATCAATAAGACACTGCAAGGTCGAACTGTATTGCTTTGTTGTGGTCTCAGATAGTTGTACGGAGCGATCGGTGCTGTTGAAATTGGACAAGGAGAATACTGCTGATGGTGTTTATGAGAAGATCAATAGGGAGGATGGTTGGAAGAAGGATCTCGACCTGAATGCACCACCTTAAGACGTTACCACAACGGCCGCAACCCTGCCAAGCGGACATAATATCAGACCGCGTTGGAGTCTGCTCCGGACATTGCTAGGCGGAGCATACGTGTGGCTCCGGACTGTCCAAGACGGGAGGCGGCGCATTCTAGCGCACGTGGAGTCGCTTGCCCTTGTGATGAGCTTAGCGAGCGGTGTAGGACGACATCTTATAGTAAGCTACGGCCGTGTCTCTGGAAAAGTGAATCAGCGAGACTAAAGACCCGGGGTCGTCAGCAAGGTCCATGACGGCAGCTCACAATTCGAACTGTCAGGTGCAACCTTGTGATCGTTGTGCCGACCCGTCCGCGGTTACGGCCGCAAGACAGACAGCAACATCGACGTTTCCCCATGCCTACGCGTCAATACTGGCTGCAAAGAAGTCAAAGGGCACACATTCTGAATGTCATGCTATCCGTATGATACCTGTACGACTATTGACTTCCAGAATTGATGGTCGATCGTTATTCCCAGGCAGCCTGGTTCGAGTGGGCGAGAAGGCTTGCACGCATTGGGTAAATATTGGCGACTCAGCCGCGTCGTGCGAGAGGGATTCGCTTGACAGCAAACTCGTTAGTGAAACGGCGCGGCATGCTGTGGTGAGGTACTTTGAGCTGTGCATGTAACCTCAACTGTACGCGAAGCGAGGAAGTGGTGAGCATCATGGAAGGTGAGAAACATCCAGATGACCACGCGGAAGCGAACTAAAGATGTCGAATAAACAAGAGAAGGTTTGTAAACAGCCATCTCCCTAAAGCGAAAGTAATGTTATTGATAGTAATCATGGAGGGACAGCCTCGTTCACTACAGACTCTTGCTTGCAGAGCACGCTAGAGGGAAAGCAAGCTAGCTCAGCCCCACGGCGGGCGCTGCATCATTGATGATTTCAACATTTAGAGATTCCCTACACAAACGTACAAACTCACAACCTCCACATTTACATCCAAGGTCCCACGCTACGCCTGTACAGCTAGGACTGTACAGTCTTGTCTAAACCTCGACTTTCTCAAATTTCCCTCCAAAGCCAGCAAACGATCAATTCGAAAGGCATCAAGGCCCCGCAACACCATGGGCGCCCTTCTCTCCCTCCCAATAACCCTTCTAAACTTCCTCCTACCATTCACGAAACCGGGGACGCCGATACTGCAAGACCTCATCCACACAGCCATTCTCTGCGGCACACTCTACTACGCTCCTCAGATCGCAGAATGGTACAACACACGGCAGCTCGGGAACATAACGGATGGCGTAGGGCAACATGACGGTCAAGATCAAGAGCAGGACGCACAACAAGAGGATCCGCATAACGCACGAGACACACCTCAAGACCCACCAGTACAACAAGACCGCGCAGCCTCCCAGCCGCAAATCGAAGACGGAGATGAAGCACCTGCACCACAGCCCGGTCCCGCCGCACCTCCCCAACAGCCAGAGCAGCTAGTACCCGACGAAGCAGTCGCAGGTCCCGCAAACGAGCGCCCACGCCCAACGCCCGCCAACCGCGCTGTAGGCGCCAAAAAAGCTAAATCCCTCGCGCGCAAAGACCAGCGGCGCGCATACCATGAATTCCACCGGCAAGAAGCCGAGCTGCGCCGCCTGCAAGCCGCCGAAGGCGCAGAAGAACGTGAGGCTGCACTTGCAGCGGAGAAGGCGAGACGCGCGGCGGCCGAGGCGGAGATTGTGGAGCGTGAGAGACGCGAGAGAGAGGAGGTGAAGAGAGAGCGGGAGAGAGAATTGCAGGAGGAGCAGGAGAGGAGGGAGAGGGTTGTGCAAGTAATTAAAGAGGAGGTAGAAACGAGGGGAGCTGTTGATTTGGTAGATGTTGCGTGGAAAGAAGGGAAAGATCAGTTGTGGGTTGAGAGACTTGTGAGGGCGAGTGGGCTATTGGCGCAGCTGTTGAGGGATGGGGCGAAGATGATGGTTACGAGTCAAGGGTGGTTGGTCAGGGTTGATAGGAACCTCTTGGAGCAGGCGTACAAGGAGGCTGAGGAGTTTGGGGAGGCGAATGAAGGGAAGGTTGGCTTTGAGGCCTTTGGGGATATGCTGGAGAGGGCTGTGAGGGCAAGAGCTAAGACCTGAGATCGAGACAGACATGTTCATGACGAGGAAGATACCCATAAAGGAGCCCACTCATGAAACGCAATACAGGCGACTGCTTTTCGTGCATGGTAGGTTGGGCCGTAGATGCAGACCAGCATGTTCATGGTACTTGGTGTGGCGTCAACCTGAGCCTTCACATGAATCGTGGGACTTGATGGTTGACATGAAGTAAAAGGTATATAAGACATGTCTGGATTCGTCATCTCACTACATGTCATCTACTTGAAGCTGATACTTTTTAGCCTGACTATGCGGCGCGGCGACCTCTGTCTGTCTCTCGTCCCAAGCACACCCTTCACGTACAGCACAACACCTAAGAGGTTCTCGAAAGTGGTATCGAATTGTCCATTTTAATCATGCAACCATGAAAGAGGTGTTTATTCGCCTAGAGAGCCGTTGACAATGCATCAGATCCCCCATACCATAGAACCATGCCAGGATAAAAACTCCTTCCAGACACCACCAGTAAGTACACACCACAGCCCTGAAACCGTTTATCGGTTGGACTTGGCGACACGCTCGAGCTCGTCCTTCTTCTTGATGGCGTACGAGTTGGAGGATCCCTTGGCGGCGTTGATCAGCTCCTCAGCAAGGCACTCGGCAATGGTCTTGACGTTGCGGAAAGCGGCCTCACGGGCACCGATGGTCAGAAGGGCGATGGCCTGGTTGACGCGGCGGAGGGGCGAGACATCGACGGCCTGGCGACGGACGGTACCAGCGGAACCGATACGGGTGGAGTCTTCGCGGGGACCGCAGTTAACGATGGCATCGACGGCGACCTGGATGGGGTTCTGGTCGGTCATGATGTGGATCTGCTATGTATTAGCACCGCTTTCCCAGGCTCTTACTTCCATGCCATGACAATCGGTATAGAGGACGTACGATCTCGAAGGCGTGGGCGACAATGCGGACAGCCATGAGCTTCTTTCCGTTGTTGCGGCCGTTCATCATGAGCGAGTTGGTGAGGCGCTCAATGATGGGGCACTGGGCCTTCCTGAATCGCTTGACGGCATATCGGCCGGCAGAGTGCGATGTGTAGACAGGCGAGCGGATCTGGATGTAGTCGCTGGAGCATCAGTTAGCCGATGGACTTCGCAGCAAATCTATCTCCCATTCCCCGGTTGCCAAAGTATACAGTATGCAAGTGTAGTATATGATATCCGATGTGCGCGCGGATAGACGGGGGATGCGGTTCAAGTAACGTACGTGAGCGAGATGTCGCGGACTTCGACCTCCTCGTAAGACCACTGCGCCATGTCAGCCTGAGTTCTGTGTGCGGCAATGCGCCGCCGTTTTGCCAGTGCCAACCTTGTTGAACAGCTTGATGCTGCCAATCTCCTCTGTGACCTCCTTAGGAAGAACGGGGTAGCCAGCCTGGCTCTCGACCTCGATTTCGCCGTTGTCAGACATGATTGCGGTTGCTGATGTGGAAGGACGGAGGGCTGGAGGTTAGTTGTCGAGTCGAAGCACTGTCGAAATCGCAAGCAAAGAGGCTAAGGTGCGAAATTCATGTGGTCGGCTAGGTGGAGAGCTGGCCCTATTTCTCATTGGCGGTCCAAGCGAGCTGTGGGCTCGTGCGTCAAGACGCCAACATCGTCACCGTGACTGACGAACAACACGATGATGCTCTCGAAGCTGCAGCTTTATTTCTCAATGCACAATTAAAGAGCTCGAAGAAGATCAAGTTTAACACCAAATGTCGATTATGCTATATCCAACTCCATGCCCAACCGTGGTATCTACCTCGCCGAGCCTATCCAGAACAACCAAACACTTATCCAAAACGCCATGCCTGAGACCGCTGAGGCAGAGCAGCAAACCAGAACGCCATGCAATGCCGCTCAGCAAGTCGTAAAGCTGAACAAAACGTAAAATATCTTCATCCAAAAATTAGCCATGCTTCAAGTCTCACCCCCAACTCTATCTCCGGCCGATTCTAGAGACTGGTGCACTGATGTCTCGCCTCTCCTTCACGCCATCAAGCATCTGCTTCATCGGCGTTCCGTGGCCTTCAGCCATGCTTCGGGCCCTACCCCGTCGCTCGCGAATGGCCTGGAGTGCAGCTTCACGATCGAAGGGCACGTTGTTCAGTTGCAACTCGCCGAGGACCGGGGTGCATTCATTGGCCACTCCGTGACCGACTGTGAAAGGGCTCATCAGCTGCCTGCCAGGTCGCGGCGCTGGCGTTGCTGGTGAGAATGCAATCGGGATGGTGGTTGTGGTCGTCTTTGTGACGTAGGGTGTGCCAGGTCCCGGGGCGACTGGTGTGGGAGGCTCCATCTCCTCGTCACTATCGTCTTCGTGGATAGCAATGTCTGTGCTCTTGCTCTCCTCTTCGACACCGCCCTGGGACACGGCTGACTGAGGCTCGTACTCGAACGCTGCCTCCAAGGGGGCAAGCTCGCTGCGAGCATCTGAGTAGCGCATGGTCGAGTGTGTTGATTCTCTAGCGGACTGACGAGGAAGAGAGCATTCTGGCTGAGCCTTAAGTGGTGAAGGAACAGACTTGAATGTGCCGGTTGTAGGTGAGAAGGCAATAGCTGTTTCTGGCTCGTCGTCTTGCTGGTGAACTACGACTGTCGTCTCGGGAGTTTGCTCCTCTGGCGGTGGTGTAAAAGGTCGCTTGCCATTGGCCGGCTCGTCCTTGACAACTTCCATTGCGTCGTCACCATTGTCACTCGCTGGAGGAGTTAGAGCAGGCACGGAAGCTTTGATGGCCTCCATTTGCGCTGCGTAGCTGTTGTCGTGGACATAAGCCTTGCTCTTGTTCTCGGCAATGCGACAAGAGCAGCACTGGAACTGACACTCCATCTTCATGAACTCGATCTGATCTTCAGCACGCGCACGGTAGCGTCTCTCAGCTGCCAGCTCCTGCTGCAGGAAGCGAAGGTCAACTGCAGACTTCCTCGGCGACTGGTTTTCCTTGTCTTCGTCGTCGCACTGGATGTTGCGGGGCTTGCGTGGAGAGCGAACAGGCGACACGAATTCGTCTTCCTCGTCGTTGGTGGCCGCAGGCAGCGCAAGTTGTCCTTCAGTTGCAATGCGCAGAACCTCCTCCTCCTTCAAACTCGTCTTGAGCGCATCACGCTCGCTCTCTACCAGCTTCAGACGGTCCTTTAGTGTCAAGATCTCCTCTCCGAGACGTGCTGTGACGCCCTCCAGCTCGACCTCCAGACTGTAAAGCTGGCTCTGGTACTTCGCTGCCTCCTCAGTCTTGAACTTGACATCAGACTCGGCCCGCTTGATGTTGCGCTCTAGCCCCTGGATCTTAGCTTGGAGCGTTGGCACCTGACCTGACTTCCTCAGAAGCTCCTTGTCCTTTTCCACGTATCGCTTCTTGTATTCACGGTTCTTAGCCTCGAGGTGCTTGTTGTTGTAGTCAAGTTCGCTCTATCAATCATTAGTGAGGGCACGAATATACAAAGCGTTCGTGACGCACCAGCTTAGCGTTCGACACTTTCCATGCGTCTTCACGCTCCTTGAAAACCTTCTCCCACTTGGCGACATTGGCCTTGTGTGCTTTGCGCTCTTTCTCATACGCGTCTCTGGAGACGGCCAAGTCCAGCTCTTCCTTTGCCGCTTTCAGCTCGTTCTTCAGCTCTTCGATGCGCACCTCCTTCCGGCTCGAAGACATGGTGTACTCTTTCTCGATCTTGTCGAACTTGGCCTTTTCCTTCACGAGTAATGCCATGTACCTGTCCCGAGCTTCTCTGGGGTCCTTAACCTCGAGAGTCTCGAACATGGCGGCCAGTCCGTGGACTGATACATCGGAATCAGTTCGTCGATGCGATGATCGTAGAGGGGAGCCTTCGCGTAGTGGTGATCCAGAGCGTGAGCCAGATCGTGCAGCTGTAGGCGAGAGCACCACTGGGTCACCATATGGAGGTTTTGTGCCGGTCAGTCGCTCTGGAGAGACTGGGAAAAGTGGCATGCTGGGCGACATGGCTAGCTTGGAGGGCGAGGGTGGGAGAGAGGGCGGGTCCATCTTTTGGATGGGGGATTCGTTGAGGCGCGCCAGTATGACGGTAGATATGTTGGGAGTTCTATTCAAAAGGTGTGCGCAATCGCTGTATGCAATGTGCTAAGGCAGCTGCAGGTCGTGTAGCACCAAGTGCGCTCACGAAGTTCAGGTAGCTGCAATCAACAAACTTTAGCGAGCCATCCTTGTCCATAGCAACGCGCACAGGCCAACTGACCCTGGAATCGTTCACGATGTCATCCATCGCGTCCTTTCAACATCTCCAATCTCTGGTCACCCTTGGACATTCAGTTATTAGGAAGTAGCAGAGCTAGCGATGTTCATGTAATGCCGCTTAGCGCCAGTAGTGCTAAGCAAGCGGGCCTTCAGCTGCAGGCATTGCACGGTCAAACCCACGTCTGGAGGACTTCAACCACTTCACAGACGATATGTGGAAGACAATTACCGCGGCTTTCCCCAACAATTAGGTCAGGCAGTAAGGCTTCGAAGTGATTCTGCGTTTGCTGTGTACCCTACTCTATCGAGTTGCTTCGAAGGCACGCTGCTTGTCTCCATCTCCATTACACTGAGACCACAATAGCGTACAAGAGTGTGTTGAGCTCTTGACCCACAGCATGCTGGAAGCATCTATTCTAGGATCAACTCCAAGCTGCTGGGTCTTAAGATGGGTATGGCGCATGCCATGGACGCCATCCTGGCCCAACGCTTGTCTTTACCTTCACTTGCACTTTGACCTGTTGCATCATGCGTTCCTTTTCTCGAATACGTACAAAGATTTCTTGCGTCTTGCCACGTCCTTTTCACTGCGCTTCTGCCCCACCTGCCCGCTCAACTCCTACTCTTTCACCCACCATGCCTTGGCAACCTTGCCTCGTATGCAAAGAAGAGACCGCCAACTTCTGCAGATACTGCGTACGAACACGTAACGACGGAATACTCATTGACGCTCGTTTCTATTGCGACGTTGACTGCAGAAAGAAAGACGAGGTCGAGCACCTTAAGGTACACATGAACGTTCATCGCACCACACCTCCGAATATGGAACGCGCAACCAAGGCCGGCAAGATCGCACAGTCGCTCTTTTACGCGTTTTTGGAGAACACGTGGACCTACGACATGAAGAATGTTTGCATCAAGCGTGATCAAGATCACGATCTTGTTGCGGTCGAAGTCACGGATGGCACAGGTGTCGTGACAGCTTCAGGGGGCCACACCGACTGCAAGAGCTACGCAGGCGGGTGGCTCATCAAGTTCCCCGCTGAATCGTTCAGTGCTTTTGATAATGATGCAAAGCATGCGCTTCTGAGTGACCGCAGCTCCATTTGGGCGTTCGTGGTCATGCATGCTGCAGTGCAGGCCCTCTTTCAAGGTAAGTTAGGAAGTATTCACACATCTCCCAGTCAAGACTAACACTCCATACAGACCTAGTCGATGATGTACAAACCGACATCAAGGAGGTTGTCCACTATCCAGTCGACAAAGCATCACGTGTCGTTCACGCCCAAGGTACTTTCGGTTTCGAGACAAGGCGCCACGATCAGGTGTACCCTGATGTGGACGAGCGCGGCGACACAAAGGGCGTTTACGAGATCACGCTCAAATGTGGTGCAAAGATCGTGCTGGATCTTGCTGCCGCGCAGTGGGATCTCCCGGACGGCAACGGCGCACAAGCCCCTGTCATGTATTGGGCAGACTACTGGTCTCGCTGGGGCGCCGCGATCAAGTACCGCATTCCTTTCCGCAGCCACGCACTCAAGCATGCCGCGAAGATGTCCGGCTACCGCGTGGTCACCTCGCAGACTTTGATCATGGAGACCATTCTCTACTTCAACGTCCTTATGTCGAGTGGGTGTAAGGCCGAGCTCGGCTTCCACCCGCGCGAGCTACTCGACATGAACGAGACCTACAGTGACGCAAAGATGCGTTTCTTTGCCCAGGCTGCACGGTACCTCCAGAAGCGCCCCGTCGAAGTCGACAACGGCAACCATCGCAACGTCCTCGACGCATTCGACCTGCGCCACCCCAAGGTTATCGCTGACGCACCAAAGCCGCAGCCCAACAGCAACGGATCTCTTCCACTTGATATCGGCGACATGGCGAGGTTTGACTGGAAAGCACTCAGCCGCCTGATTCAGCAGCCAAGCTCAGAGGTCTCGTTGAAGGAGAAGAAGCGGGCAAAGGCGTTGCAGAAGGATCGGAGTGTGTACAAGGAGCCTGGTACATGGAAGATTGTATTTCTGGAGGATACACTTCCGGGTCCTAGGGTGCCAGCGGAGCGTGTCAGTGAGAATCCGGGGTGGAAGTTGGGATAAGATGAGGTGTGCATAAGCTGTGATGTCCGGGACTTTTGGCCCACATGGTCTCATCCAAGAACAGAGGGTGTGTTGCACACACGACTCATGGGTACGTTGCAGCCATCAACTTTGTGCAAGCCCTACAATAATAGCATGTTTAGGCGGGAGTATTGAGAATCTTTAACGTAAAGCATGTATGTTATTACATGAGATAGCGAGGCTGAGGATCCAAAGCTTCGCGAGCTGTAACTACCGGAGTCGTGACCCGTGAATGGACCTTCTGCTTTGGCGCCAGTGCTCTGTCCTACCCTCAGTATTGACCTTCCAGGCTCGCCTGTCTTCACTCTTCCACTCGCAAACATCTACCTCATTATACAGGATATCGCGCGTCTCCGCGGCACCACTAAAACTATGGCCCATATTCGATTATTCGATGATTGCTGCAGAAAAGACGTGCCATAGCAACTGAAACGACAGAAATGCTCAAGGAATTGTTACGACCAAGAAAAAAGGCAGCTCACTCACAACACAGACTGAGATCGAAGGTTCTAGCTTGAACATAGTCGCTTCCACAACGTCTTTCGTCGTCATAGTGCTCTTGATTGCCAGGGTGAGTCTCCCTATAAGATATTCTCATCAGCTACTAATGCCCCAGACCTACAGAAACAAGCAACAACAACAATCACTCAATACCACAACAAAATGAGCCGGCCTCTCATCTCCAACTTCGTTAACAAGACTTGCTCTGTCGGGGAGCGTGGACAGTACGCATGTGCGGAAATATTGAAGGATTGAACTGAGGTTGTATATGGGTGAAGCTACGAACAGTGTGTATAGGTCGGTAGCTGTAAACAACGCTAGTGTGACGTGGCAGGAGCACCCCAAACCGTGACATGCTCCCATTGCAAGCACCCAGTCCCTGAGGAAGGCTTATTCCGCAAGGACAAAGTATGGAAGACTTGCAATGAGTGCTCAGCCAAAGCATACGACCAGCGCAAGGCAGAGACTGCCCATGCAACTGCTATGTGTGATGCCTTAGACCTGCGCATGGCAGCTCTACGTATTAGCCAGCAATAAGAATTTGACCGACACCAGTTCCATCAGTAACAGTTCGAACAACAATGGCAGCAACAGCGGGATCCGCGAATGATCATCGATTACCTTCTGGCCGGCCCAGATGTTTACGACTCATCGCCATTAGAGCTATACGAGCAATATCGACGATTGGATCACCAAACCCAACAACTCTTCAGCCCCGAGTCTTTCCAGTCACAATCTGGCCAGCAGCCAGTAACTTATCAGAACCCTTAGCCAGAGCTGTACGTGCAGCCGTTCCTAACTTATCCTCCGGATCCAAACCAAGGTATGTTTCCAGCCTATGAGTTGTTGAATTCCAACTTCTACTGTAACCTGGAAGCCTTAGCTGATGTGCTTCAAGAACGCTCTTCGTGTCGATCTACAAGAACAGCAGCATGGCAATGACATTGCGCAATCAATTTTCGACGAAGCCGACTTCGACTTTAACATCGGTATGGAACAAGTAGACTCAACATTCTTTGCGAATCCAGTTGGTGCACATCCGCCACCTTACTGTCTAAACCGCTCAAAGAGGACTTGCATCGAGAGGCTCAGCAGCTCATTGGGAACAGCATGGAAGCTCTGTTCAAGCTGCTTGTAGAGCTAACTGGGCAGACCGACTTGAAGAAAGTCAAGATTGCACTGGACAAGCAGCTTCGACTCATGAAAGCCGCAGTCCCAGCAGACCGTAAGGCGAACGGTATTCTGTACCTAAAGGTTGGACCTCACGGTACGCATATATAGTGATAGAAGCTCTTGTGGACTTGAAACGGCAATGCTGTGAGACTGAAGCGTTCGACGGCAGAGAGATTGTAAGGAAGATCTGGGTAGATGAACAACTTCAAGTTGTAAAAGTGTAGAATATGGAGATGAAGATGGAACTAGATAAACCTTAAGAGGAAAAAGAATGCGTGCTTCGAACGACTAGACATGCAGAAAGATGGACCGATGCCGCTTCGCTGTAACAATGTCCTCACCTCAAAGCCTACCTTGTGTAATATGTTCCTCGAAGGTGGCATGCCAAAGAATGGCATTGTAGATTCGTACGTGAACCTTTCGTGAATCAGTAGACCAGGCTCTTGCGCTCAGAACATCCTTCCATGCCTCCATCCTTGGAGTGGATGAAATCACCTGACCTGTGAACATCTTTGACAGCATCGGTACCCCTGTGGCCCTCAGCCATCTCTTCCTTGATGACAATACACCCACTGACTCGCCATCTTCCACGCCCAGCTCGTCAGTGACATCAAGGCTGCTCGCAAATATGTCAAACAGCGTCACGCAATCACGCCGACGCCACGGTGCCTGAGTCTCGTCGCCGCCGTCACCATCACGGCACGGGCACTTATTTCGACTACCGGGTAGTCACCCAACTCAGTATCCTCACCTTAAACCAGACAACCTAAGTCACTTTCCGATGATCGGTGAACGTCATGCAACCCTGCTCCTCGCTCGATCCTCTCGCCAAAATCCCCGCCTACGTCACCAATCAGACCCTGAGCAGCATCACCACCCCGGCCTGCCTAGCGCTGATAATCGCAGCCCTGTCGCCAAACTCAATTGCCTGTTTGGCTGGGATGATCTTGTGAGGTCACTGTAGGCAGGCAATCGGACACAAGATGGATTGGTGCCGTCTGAAGCCAAATGGGATGAGATTAGACGAATTCTTGATGGCCGAGCCTCAAGGTTCGTAAGGAATATATACCGTGAGCCTCCGGCCCAGCCCCGGAGTACGTCCGAGGGCTGGCCGGTACATGTAAGGGGGAAGTACCCGTGACAACAAGTCTGGCTTCAATTTTCAAGGGTAGTAAAGGTGGAAGAGCATATCGGGAAGTATAGAGATGCGGCTTTGCTGTCTGTTATCTCTTTTACAGGCTTTGCTTGTTTGCAGTTCGAAGGTTGCTTGGGGATTGCGTGATTAAGTCCATTGTGGTTTTTGCAAATTTTTTGTTGTGAGGTGTAGATGTTCGGGATGCATGATTTCACCCACCGCCTCCAGCAAGAGTTGCGACATGATTGCCCACGGCACTCGAACCGAGCATATGGCGCAGGAACCTGATATTAGCATATCTAGTGACATAGCATTCGCATCAACGATTCTTACGACCGGCGATAGCAAAACCCGGCAAGGACCAGTCAGGCACTTGGGCGCGGAAGCCACAGAGATAGTCCAGGATAGATACCGGTTCCTACTCCGAAGCCACCACACAACAACTCATCCAGGTCCTCCAACATTTCATCTGCTGCAGCGTAATGGCCACTCACTACCCTGCGTCCATTAAAAACAAAAAATCTTTTCCCTGACCGCCGGGGCCTCCACGATCCAGCCCTACAAGCATCTCAAGTCAGTGCGCATCCTTACCGCGCTTAGCCCCCCATCTTGGCCTCTTAGCCGCCTGTTCCAGGGCAGCGGTCTGAGAGATGCTCTCCCGCCTCGCTAGCTCCGCTACGCATAGACGGCCCAAAGTTCGCGTCAGCCCAGAACGTCTGATGGTGCTCTTTTCAGCTCTCTACGATCTGCTAGTGGAGAGTACGAGGACGCTCGTGTGCTGAGCCGAAGCACGTTAACAAGGAAGCGCTGGGTTGATCCTTGACTGTGGCCTTGTAGACACACCACCTGATGGTCCGGAGTGTGCGACGAGGCTGACGATAGGTGTGAAGGGTTGGGTGTGGTGTCTCGATAAGCTCAGACAAAAAAGAATGCTTGGACGTTCGGCATGGCGTTCTAGACAATGGCGTTTGGTTTGAGGCTGACAGACACTGACGTGGCAAGGTAGGAGATGGGTAACGCTTTCGCAGTCTATACGATAAATTTCTATGTGGCGAGGACTATCAAACCTCGGTTGGAGAGAGATGCTGAGAAGGGTATAATGAAGAGTTGTAGATCCATCGGCGATGTGGCGTCCCATCGCCCCAATGCAATGTATCACTGCCGGTCCCAAACGCCCGCGATGCCATTGTCGCACACTGCGACAGAAAACCATGCCAGTGTGTGGTCTCCATATGCAGAGTCCGACAGAACCTTATGAGATAACCGAGGTAAGTGTACGCCGCGTGAAGTTGTGTCACCATCCTACCCAGGTTGATGGCGACTTCAACGCCGTGGCGCATGTCCATGCTTCTTTCTGACGAGTCATGACTTTTGGTAAACCAGAAACGTCTCGCGAAAAGTACCCAATGAAAAACGAGATGTAGAAGATTGTACATCGCGCTCACTACACCGTAGTAATGATGGTAGCCCGCTCAGCGGCGGAAAATGTTTAGTAGACTCTTGCGCTTAGGCATAGAGTGCTTTGCTGTCTTGCTCTCAGGAATGGGTGGTGGGACGAGGTTGGTGGTGGGCTTCCTGCTGAACTTGGACATAACCGGCTCGGATTGCTTGTGGTTGATGCTTTTGCTCGCAGGCTGCGCGGAAGGGTTCTCCTGGAGGCCCTTCTCATTGACAGCTATTCCGGAATCGAGTGGACTAGGGCTAGGAAGCGGAGGGGTGACTGTTCTTCCTTTGGTGTTAGCCTTGGAAGTCTTGCGAGAAAGCGTGATGCTACTCTTTGCCTTGGAGACACCAGATCGGCGGGAGCTCTTGGTTATAGCCCGCTTCATGCCTGTCTCCTCAGCCTGAGTCCGCTCGAGGTTCTCGATCTCGCCCAGGATGGTCATGCCGTTCATCGCGAATGCCTCCTCCTGGATGGCAACAAACTTAACGATGCCGCGATCAATTGGTACACCAATTGACTCGGTCATGAAGTTCTGGATCATGGCAGCATTGCGCTTGTTGAGTGTTGGCTGCAGCTGCACGGGCAGTGCGTTGATGGTAAGAATGTAGGTAGGCTCGAAAGAACCGCCGAGCAACAGACACGCTGAGTGGTTGACTGTTATCATAATCGATGTCTCGGGCTTCTGATAACGGGTCGAGAGATGATGTGAGAGGTCGGTGACAAGGGTGTACTCATCCTTGATCTGTGCGCCGATTAGCAATGCATGAAAGAGTGGAGCATCGTGGAGATTAGCAACTTACGATTACATTCGTCCTCAACTCTGCAACAATGGGTGCATCTTTTGTTACGCGGTCGCGAGCATTCGATGTAGTACCCTCCTTGTAGGAGAACTGTTCCTCGTAGTACTGGGCTCGTTGGCGGGAGTAAGGTCGTGCAATGTTGGCACCGGCGGAAGTGGCAGGCCGTAATCTTGAATCGTCGAATGCAGGTGTTTCTAAGACTGATCGCGGCGACGATGTGAAAGAAAGCTGCGATGACGATGTGAGTGCCTGCACGTCGTTTGACTCGGGCGAGAGGAGGGTAGTGGCGCCAGCCTGCTTGGGGAAGGCATTCGATGCTGAGTAGGTTGAGGTGGATGAAGGCCGCGACATCTTAGCTCCAGTCGAAGTCGAGTTGTTGACAGAGTGAGGCATGGCAGGGTAGGAAAGGAATATAAAAGAGTTCAAGGGTGTGACGACGCGAATTGTTTGTTTGGTCGGTGAGGGGAGCCGCGAATTTCTGAGGTGTATCCCTAGGGTTGGGACTCGCTAGATATGGACGCAAAACGGGTTGTGCAACCTAGAGCGCTGATCGCAGGTCGAGTGCGTTATCTGTGCGTGAGATGGCTTCTATCAGAGTTTGGTGGCCAGACGGCGGCTACCTCACTTGAAGACACGAGGTCTGTGGGAGGTTTGGCTGGCGGAGCAGAGTGGTGATGTATGGATGGTATGCACGCCAGGTAAGGGCAGACTGCTGTTATGTAAAGGTTTCGGTTGCTGCACACCCCGAAGATGGGTAGGAATGAACCACAAGAGGACAGGAACGGCGCTGGTGAGGAGCTGCCGGTAGCGCAACCACTTTGTGATATATAGACTACACCAGAGCGTCGGCCAGGACCAAAGTGCGTAGAGCAGTGCAACCGCTTTGGGAAACAGCGAGCAGGGGTGTCCATCACGCGCCTTTCGCTTTTGAGACATGCATAAGTTGGGCTATGCGCGGCCGCCCTTGTCTGTCTTTGTGTGTGGCTTGCTGGGTGCTGCAGCCAAGCGCCCGCGCTCCGCTCTGCCATCGGGCACCCCAGACCGTCTCAACGATGGGCATCGCGGCCGCAGCGCTCGTTTGGCTCAGCAGTCTCACGCTAAACTTGAACACCGAATTGCATTTGGGGATCAGCAAGACCATCAGCCTCCCTCACGTACGCCATAAGTGCTTTTGCCAGCTGCACTGTGCAGAGACTGCTGACCGTCAGCTTCGGCGGGTGCAGCTCGATATAGCTCTCCACTCGTCAAAGAAAAGTCGAATATCCGTACCGTCCAGCAGGCGCCTCCAGTCCCACTCGAGCGTTGCAAGCAGCTTCACGTCCGACCTGAACACTGCCTGACTTTCCAGAGCCATGCAACACACCGCTGGCGCCGTTTGGTCGTGCCTCCTAGCTTCAAAACTAAACTCCGGCGTGCCCATTCCATAACCCCCTCCCCCCAATTCGTGATAGGACTGCCCTGATTGGACTCGAATCATTCGTGTCCGCCAGCATGGTCTAGAAGTCCCTGGATTTTGACAGCCGTAGCCGTGCTTCTTCTTGTAATCTTGTTGATTTTGTATGTCTTGCGTATAGCTCTTTGATCTGCCACTATGCAAGCTGTCACCGCCCGTCAACACCTGTTGCATCTAGATCCGCCAGACTCACACAGCATGTTGGGGCGCTCTCGTCCTCCGTGATCATTTCCTTCAGATTGGTTGCGTTGCACATGACTGTCAATCCGGCATCGAGCCGAAAAACGAGGACACAAACAAGAACTAACGCTGAGCTTCCCACCCGCTCTGTGATGCCGCAGCATTACCACAAGGGAGCGCCTGGTCGCTGTATTGAGGAAGGTCACACCTCTACATGCGTCACCATCAAGTGATCCTGCAGTTATGAGGAACCTTCGAACAAATTGACTGGTCATCGTTCATCTCGCGTCGAATACAGGTACCAATTCACGATCCTCCTCAAAGGCCTCGACCGCCGTTCAAGACAGCAAATGTAGACAATACTCGGCCATTGACATGCCCAAAGGGGAAGTAGAGTACCATTTCTACGGCGCATCATCGCTGATTAGCATGTGTTCGTGGTCTCTAAGCTATAGCTCTCAATTGCAGACACGAGAAGTTAGCCAGGGTCAAATATCAATTGTTGACTTTACCCTCAAAGGAAGATACTTTGATAGCGGTTCCAGCGCAACTGACTGCGACCACACCAATCAGAGCACAATGGCGACGTTCATGTAGCCGTTTATCCTTCAGTCTCAGCTGCTTTGCTTGTGAAACGTGTCGAGTAGTACACAGTACGGCACAACGCATGTCAGAACCCTTTCGAAATGAACGTAGAATGCGAGCTGCAGTGTAACGACGTACCCAGAGTGGTACTGTAGTCTGGGTGCACACCTATGTCGTCTTCATCCTGCATCGGTTGGACGTGCCTTGAGCGGGCATTTCGTCCAACGTCTCTATTGAAACTGCCCGCCTACGCGCGTTTACGCCACAAGCGTCCACGATCGTGCATATGAGCGTTTGCATTTGGAGTCGTCTGCCACAAGTACTTCGAAAGGATCGATGTGCCGTAATTACCCTGACGGGACAGCCCGCGTAATACGATGAAGATACGCTTGTGACAGATGGCCGGCGCGGTGGTCGTGAAAGCTTGACTGGCGCATTATCGTCTGCAGTAACCTTCGAATGTAGACGAAATCTGTGCTAATTGCAACGAACGGGGATCCTGATCCTCCTGCACGAGGGCAAACTCGAAATAGTAAATCGGCTAATTAAGGGCGAACGTACATTGCTGACCTACAATCCTTCGCATGTGATGTTTGTGAGGATCGTTGAGGCAGTGTCTCGTTTTGCTGCCTCACCCCAGGTTTCTGTATGCGGATGCGCCCGCTCTTAATGGGGATTATAACGGGTCAGCATGCACACCATATGATCCTGCGCCCAAGTACTGGCAGAATCTAGCATGTACCTGCACCACGCCATCCTGAAGGGGTCGCGCCCGGAAGCAGAAGTAATAGAGGACGTCATGCTTTGCGTCGAAGTGGAAGAGTAACAAAAACCTCGCAATGTCATAGTTTGCGACAAAACACGGAATGTTCATCAAAGGTGCAGACGAGGTACTGAAGGTACTGCGCTGTTTTTGACAATGATGACCCCTCACGTGTTCGCGCGTTACGATGCGCGGCTGCACGTCGAGCGTTTATTCTCCAGCACCATGCTTACAAAACCCACCACTTCAACTTAAAACTGACCTCGAGCTCACGATGCCGCCCAAGAATGCAAGCGTAAACGGAACGACGCGCAAAGGCCCTCAGTTCAAGCCTCCACGACCGGTAAAGGCGCCAGCGAAAGCTTCAACAGCAGCTGCATCACGCGCAACAGGCGCGTCGAAGAAGCCCAGTGGCCCCACCGCCAGATCTAGCTTCCAGCCACCAGCAACAATCATATCCTCTGACGAAGAGGATGCGCAGGAGGACGAGTTCGATGCGCTGAGCGACGATCTGATGGAGGATGTACCTGCGCCAAAACCCACAAGAACCGTCGAGCCCTTGACAACAGCACATCCGATCCCTGCACCACTGCTTGCGCGATTACTGCACGAGAACTTCGAAGACCCAAACACGCAGATACAAAAGGGCGCAATGACCCTGACGGGACGTTATATGGAGATTTTCGTTCGAGAAGCACTTGCGCGAGCCAAGCATGAGCGCGGGAAGTCAGCGAGGAACGACGGCATATCAGATGGCTTCTTGCAGGTCGAAGATCTGGAGAAGCTTGCACCACAACTGGTATTGGACTTTTGAGTAACGAGCGGCATACAGAGCGCTAAGATGCGCGTACGCATATCGACATATACGTCGAATATAACAGCAACAAGCCCACAGTAGGCGCGCTCAGCTGCAACAAACGTGGCCTGTCGTTGATACGTGCTCACTGGAGAAACAACGGATTCAGGCCGTGGGTCGGAGAGCAGCTGTCATGTGTCAAACAACATCTATATCGAGCCCTAGAGGTGTCTGCATACCCAGCATCCTTTGGTCGAAGCATCCTCCGGGTGGACACGGCCTCATGAATGCCCGACACCATGACAGGATGGACGGGGCATATGAGGTCGATTGGAACCAGAGAGGCTAGAAGGGTGCCTGAGGAGTAGCAGGGCCTCGAAGCTCATGCAGAGAAGTACAGATCGACGCACTAGTGATCCCATGAAGGACATTTATATACGAACACATCTCACTGAAATTCCCACTTGTGCTAGCCGTTCGAGACGAACTGCGCCAGGACAAGTTCATCCGGCATGACACAGGCGCTGTGCAGACCTTTTAATCACAGCAGGAACTCTTCGGGTATCGTCAACAAACGGTTCTCGGCGTTGCCGGCGCTCAGGTGTTGACGTTGCTCGGCTGGAGCGCGCTCAAACACGTCTGGAACACGAGGTGCTTCGCAGACTGAACACCCAGGCCCAAGGCTCGCGAAAAGATCACGATCGAACAAACAACATGCACCGCACAGCGATATTGCAGCAAACAACTCAAAATCTGCTGCAAGGACAATTATTTGACTGGCATAGAATTCTTAGGTTTCTCTACTATGTTTTTACGCTGTGCAGTGCTGCCGCTGACAACTTTTGGTGTTGCACGCTGCGAGCCTCAAGTGCCAGGGTGCGAGAGGCTGAAGCACGAACAGCTTCCAGCACGTCACAGACTGCCCTTCATGTATCGGAAAAGCTGCTAACCGCCACGACGACGCCTAAGCAAAACGCTATCAGCGAGCGTTCCGAAGCCGTCCTCAATGCCTTAAGAGTACCTATATCCACTCCTCAGGCTCACTTTTCTACTCCACATCTGCCCTGCTTCACGTCTGTCGCTGCGTTTCCTTCCATCTTTTCGTTCATCTCACCTTTACGGTCTCTTTAATTCTTAACATCTGGCTAGTCCAGCTTTTAGAGCGCTAGTCGCCTATACCACTCTCTCAATACTCGCATACTAATAATTTCGTCATATCGACACTCGTACAAGACATCTCGCCGCCATGTACTTCTCGAAATCATTCCTCGTGACTGCCCTGGTTGGCTTCGCGGCGGCACAGTCTTCAGCATCATCACAATCCATCGCAGCTTCAGAATCCCTAGCCTCGACGGCATCCTCCACAGCATCCGGAGCTGCAGCATCATCGACATCAACACCCTCGAGTGCTGGGCTCGTCACACATACCATTCAAGTCGGCGGGCCAAACGGGTCACTCGCCTTCTATCCCAACAATGTGAAGGCAAACGCTGGAGACATGATCCAATTCCAGTTCCACCCAAAGGTACGTCCTTACAGCCGTACTGCGACAGCACCATCTAATATCAGATAGAACCACTCCGTCGTCCAGTCTACCTTCGATAACCCTTGCGTGCCTATCCAGAACATTATGTCTAACAAAACAAACGCTTTCTTCTCAGGCTTCATGCCAACCACCACTCCTGCGAACTCAACATCCCAGCTCTTGACCTACACTATCCGTGTTCCCGATGACAAGCCTATCTGGTTTTACTGCTCACAGGGCAAGCACTGCCAGGAAGGCATGGTAGGAGCCATCAACGCGTACGTATACATTCCTCAAGCATCTGGTCCACCTTGATCATGACTAACACAATCATAGACCTACCTCCGGCGAAAAGACTATGCAAGCATTCAGCGCGCTCGCCGCTCAAGCTGCCGATAACCTCAGCCCCGGCCAAGCAGCTGGCTCTGGCACCACCGGCGGCAGCGGCACAGGCACCACATCGTCCTCTTCTGGCTCATCCGGCACACCAACATTGGGTAGCGGCGCATCAGGCACAACCACCAGTCCGGCACAGAACACTGCCAATGCCGCACCTGTGCTCAGCAGCCAGTCGATCTTTAGCCTCGGTGCTGCTGCGGTGGCGGCTCTTGCCTTGTGGTAGTGGAGAGATGATGTTTTTTGCTTCTGTGGTTTCGCTTAGAGCGCTGGGTTCGACGAGTTTATTGTGATACCATCCAACGACTGAGCTGGCTTTAGTGTATGTTTATGAGGAGTTTATGTAGTTACCTGCCTTGTGACGACACGACGTGGCAGGAGATGTCGTACTAAAATGATATGTAATATTTTCCTCATCATTCTCACGCGCAATTCTTGTCGCCTCCTCCGCCTCCGAAGGAATCCACGCTGGCTCGCGTGAACTTCTCCATCGCCATGTATACTTCTGATGGCTTCACTCAGCGCTGGGCTGGCATATCTGACAAGTTCGATACCCGCGGAAACATTCGGAGCAAGTCGATTACCATGTCGTGCTTCTTTAGGAATGCCTGCGTAAGCGATCCTGACGTGCATGATGTTCATGAGGGGTGCATGTACCCCCACACTAGGCGCGGCCAGCATCCTTCCTACACCATCACATGCAACAAACCAGCGAACCGCATTTGGCTGCAGCACACCCTCAGTACTTATATCACTGCAGTAATATGCCGTGTCTGAACTTCAAGAAGGCAGTTCCAAGCGATGCGGGATGAGATGGCTGCAGGCAGCATGGCGGCCAAGCGGCGATGTTGCAGTCTCCATATGGACTGGAGCAGACCCTGAAATACAGGACCTGGTATGGCATTTTCTCAAGATGACTTTTGGGAACGCATGGGGCTACAAGAGAAGGACAGGACGACGTGTGTCGAAACTGTTCGGGGAAGGTACGATGGATACCACGTGGAAAAGTTCGAATACCAAGGATACTGCAGCTTCACATTACTTCTGTCTCCACAACAAGGGCATATTGTGAGTGAAGTTGGTTTCCAGAGTGGTGCTCACATACGGGCATCTGAAGTGGCCGAGCAACTCATTGTCCAAATTCGGCCAGCGCAACACGCCCTCGACCTGGACACGGCTTGGGCAGCGAGCAGAACACACTCGCTGGTCGCTCCCATGGTTCGAACTCTGGATCTCTGCCTACCAGGAGATCTTTGCGCATACGAGATGAACAGATTAGAGGGAACGCCGGTATCTCGCCTCCATCCCCACGAACGTTCGATAGGAGTTGAGATACGAGAGAAGCAACGAGCCCTCATCACGAGCTTCACTAATTTCATCGCACAAAGCTGGCCAGACGTGGCAAGTAAGAAGCGAAGAGACAGCGTTCTGCGACCCGACTCACCTTCCAACGAGGAGCAAACGATACTGTCACTTTGCACAGGCAAAGTAGGATCGTGCATCGTCCCGAAACTTCAGAAACTCGCTGAGGAACTCCCGGATCAATGGCTGCGAGAGCGAGCTCAGACCACGCTGGACAAGCTTCGCGTGATAGACGACTACCCTGTCGTGCTGAATCACGGAGATCTCATACCGTCAAATATCCTCGTCATCAAGGAAACATGGGAGATCACAGGGCTTGTTGACTGGGCGGAAGCTGAGTACCTGCCCTTTGGGACGTGCCTTTATGGCCTGGAGTACCTCCTTGGTTTCCTCCAACCGGCGTCACAAGAGTTGGACAGACCAACTTTTGTGTACTACGACAATGCCCCGCAGCTCCAAGCCAAATTCTGGACCACATTGCTCGACCTTGTACCGGGGCTTGGAGGCAGGCAAGAGGAGGTGCGACTGATGAGAGATATTGGAGTGCTTCTGTGGCATGGCTACGCGTGGGACGAAGGTACGATCGATCGTGTTGTGGATGAGGTGAATGACGGCGATGAGTTGGCGAAATTACGAGCGTTTCTGAGTAACTCATAATGACCGTCTTTCTCGCATCACCATGGAGGTCTTCAGGAATTCTCCTCTTCTCTCACCTTTTCTCATGCATGCCTACTGTCTCGTCTTCTCGCAGTCCCGGATGTACCTATTGAACGTGCCTTCCGCAACAGAGCCCGCTGTTGACTCGACCATGTGTGCGACCTGCTCCTTCTGAAAATGATTGCACCTTCCCCAGTCACCCAGGCAACATCCATCTTCGTGAGGCTCTCTGTTTTCGTCTCACCTCCGTCTATGCTGCTCTTCACCTCACCGTGCGCATCGATACGAAAACTTTGTAGGGCCCTTTGCTACCACCAGCCACAACCGAGACCAACCACCATAATCTCCAAGGCTTTGAGCTCGTGCAGGTTTCCTCGACCAAGTATCAGTAGGTGCACACAGTCATTGAATTGGCGTTCTGTCGTTAATAGGACTAGCAGAGGACGACGCACTATGGTTGCCACGCGACGGAGCGGTGCAAATGCCGCACCAACCTCTAATGCCCCTTCGAAACCTACAAAGCGGAGGAAGTTCTCAGACAGTGCTACAGTAGACAAGCTAGAAAAGACTGTCACAGCACCACCTTCCATCTCACGGGAGCCTTCTCTGTCAACCAACATTACAGCACTGTTAAAGTCTAGCAGTGAGCTGAGTGACCTTACTCTCACCTCACCATCTACGGGAAGAACACCTGGAAAAGGTTCACCCAGCAAGATCGTTCGATCTCTGCATGAGCAAGCTAGACCTTCGGCTCCACAAGTCATGGCTGCCTTACAGAAGCTTGTCACGCCTGGCAGTTCCCACAACCCAATTGTCTTGGTCGAGGACTCACCACGATCAAAAGCCCAAGCGAGGACGAAACAACATGACAAAGTCGAACCGCATAGATTTCAGGACAGACACAGCAAGCTTTACACTTACAAACCTCCACGACCTGCTCTTGCCCCGAAGCCAGCGAACGGAAGCACATTTACCGGCCATCCAAATCACGACATGTATCGCATGCGTACGGCGAAGATGGCTCAACCAGTGTGGCATCTGAGTAGGAATCAGAATGTCCGACAGGGTCTTCCAGGTCTTCCATTCGAGATGCAGTACCCTATGTCCGCTCAGTATCTGGCATCGCAGCAGGGTGCTGCACTTCCTCCCACAAGACCGGGCATCCAGTACTACGCTCCACCTCCTCCATCATACCTACGGCACAAGGCACCTCTACTACCAACAGAAGAACAACTACGGAGGAAAGCCGTGAAACACGTGCGAGAGTACTCGAGATCATCACCGCGTAAGAGGAAGATGGCAGTAGATCCTGAGGAGACCAGCGAGTCGGAATCAGACGAAGTCAATCACAACTTTACGATCTCCATGCGCAAAACATACCCAACGCAGACGCCTGGTGGCAGTGCGAAGCTCAAGAGTAGCCCAATCACTATCCTGCCTGACCCCCACTTCCAACTCACACCACTCATCGAGCACGCTTCGCTACTTACCTCACTCCTGCGAGCGTATCCGCACTCAGCAGATCAGAAGGGTCTGAGAGAGGACATCGCGATGCTGGTCTCTGTGCAGAACCAGCATTTGGCCGATTGGCTGAACTCGGAAGTTGGACAGTCTCGAAAAGCTGTGCCGAATCTGCACACTCCTTGTGTGAGCAGGAGCACCACGACCTCACTAATCAAACCACTTACTCACCATCTTACGGATAGCGAGCTGACTGAGGCAGAGAAGAAGAGGAAGCAAGACGAAGAGGTCCGAGGGTTACTATCTGCGGACGCAAAGCTATGGCAAGATGGCTCTGGCCTGGGCGTCGCGGACGTGTATAGGGGAAGCAGAGCTTCGACGCCAGCAGCAAGCCAGGACGAAGAGAATGAGCCCCAAGAGGAGAGTGCCATTGTCGCCACCTCGCCGCCAGTGCGCTGCACTGCAGAAGCTCCGGCCGCATTGCCCGACATTGTCGCCACGAGCTCTTCCCCGCTGGCAAGAACTAGCATTGGGAGTCCCGTCAAGTCGTTACCCAAGGTCGTCGCGTCAGCTGCATCCCCAGTAGCGAGACCTGGCACGCAGAGGCTCGTAACTCCATCACCGAAAGTTGCGAGGACTGTGTTGTGTCGCCTGCTGTGAGAACTAGTGGGAGGAAGAGGATGGCGGCAGCGAGATGCAGAACGGAGTGAACAGGGGGAAGTGTGATGGCCGGAGGGAAGACATTTACTCGACGGCGTGCGGCGGAATTGGTCTGTGGAACATGGGGGTGAGAAGGACGATATATGTGTACGCATGGCGGGTAAGTAGAGGATGTGTAAGTTGCTTCACAGCCTCACACTGTTCATAACAAACCAACCCCGTCTCATGTCAACATGTCTATTCGGGTATCGTGAGCTTTCCACATCATCATCTACGAACTTGTTCCTTCCCACCCCTAAACAGTACTCGGAGCACAACACGCTAATTCCCCTTATTTCCCCGCTTACCCCCCCTCTTACTCCTTTCAATGTGTCCTTGCAGCGTCTTCTTCACGTCGCCCAAACTCCTCTTATTCTTACTCTTCGCCTTGCCCAGGGTCATCAAGAAATTCTTCTTGCGCGCCTTCTCCTTGTTCGTCGTGCTCTTGCCCTCAGACTCCTTCTTCGCCTTCCGCTTCGCTGTCGTGGATTGGTGGTTTGTCTCGCGGTCTGCCTTTGCCATGGCGATCTTCTCTTCTTTGGTGTTCTTCTTGCCCAGCGAGGCGGCGGCTTCGATGGTCTCGGCCGTGATGGCTTCGTCGGCGTGGCGCGCGGCGAGCATGGCGGCGCGTTTGTGGGAGGGGAGGTGTGCGTTTATGGCGGTTTGTTCTTGGAGCGCTTTTAACTGTTTCAGATCGGCGGGGGTGAGGATGGTGGTGGTGAGGAGTTTGGAGATCTGGGCTTGTTTGGCCGCAGCGGTTTCTGGCTCTGCGGATTTGGATCCTTCGTTCGGTGCCGGTGTGGCGGAGTCGAGCTTCGCCTTCTTCGCCTTTGGTTTGCCCTTGTCCTCGTCTTCGCTGTCGCTGATGTTGATGTCCTCGCCATCACTCTCCACGTTAATCCATCCCTCCTCATCACTATCGCTGTCGCTCTCGAGCTCCCACTTCTTCCAGTCCTCGGCCTCGTCGAGTTGAGAGTCGCCGTCCGTGCCATCGGGGTCGAGACCGGCTGCGATGCGCTTCTTGCGCCGCTCGTCTTCTTTCCAGGCCTCGAGCAGCTCGATGCCTTCGATGCCGCCGGCGGCTTCTTCGCCGTAGCGTTGCTCCTTGATGGTGCCGGCGCGGATGCCCATGCTGGCGTCTTTGCCGCGGTCGCGCTTGTGTAGGAGTTCGGCGCCGACTTCGCGGTAGAGGGAGAGGAGACCTTTGGCGGCCATCATTACGCCTTTGTCTTTGGATTTGCGATACTGCGAAAACGTGAGTCAAAGCGGGGTAACATAGGACAGGTGGGAGGGGCGTACCATGACGAGATCCTGTAGCAGCGTATCGGTCATTGCAAGGGGCTGGCGAACGCAGATCTCGCGAATGGCGTTCAGACCTGCGGCCGCGACTTCTGAGGCCGAGGCTTCGGAGACGAATTCGTTGGCGATTTTCTGGACTAGCGGCTCGAGAACATCGGGCGGGACGTAGCTGTGCGTTGCCTGGGCGAGACAGGCGAGGTAGCTGGTGACGGAGGCTTGTCGAGGGGTGAGGTGTTTGAGGAAGTACGAGTAGAGAGACAAGACGGTGAGTTTGTGCAGACCGACAAGACGCGAGACCAGCTGCAGGACAAGGAGTTTCGTCTCGAGCTGGAGCTTTGCCTTTGTGTTCTGGACGTGCTTGGAGAAGAGGTTCTCGGCGAAGCCCTGGGGATCGTGCAGAAGGTGGAGCGCGGAGAAGTTCAGCGGGTGCGGCGCGTTCTTCTTCTTCTCCTTTCGCTTGACCGTGGCAGCAGCCTTCTTGAGGTCGCGGGCCTTCTTCTTCGTCTTCTTGTTGATGCCCGCCTGATGCTTCAACTTGGCCATGTCAACGTTGTCGTCGTCACTGCTCTCCTCGGCCGCCTCCTCACGCTCCTTGTCGCCACCGAGGAAGAAGCGCACTCCGCCCGCGATGACCTTCTCGTTCTCGCTCAGGGCCGCGAGGCGCATGACCTCGACAGCGCGCGCGTCGGTCCATATCTGCTTCTTCCACAGCTCGCGCGTGATCTTGACTGCCCAGATGCCCTTTGGCGACTCCTTGTCCGACTCGAGCAGGTTGTAGAGAACGGTTTGTACTGTGCGGTTGAGCTTGTGGTTTGTCGTCTTGACGTTCGACGAGCGCAGGTCGGAGAGAATCTTGGTGAAGAGAAGCTGCCGCAGCGACTTGCTGGGCGTGGCGACGAGCACGGGGAAGAGCGTGTTGAGGAGCGCCACAGAATCGATGACGTCCTTGTTGCGCAGCAGACACAGGCTTCCCACCATCTTGTCGCGCAGCTCGTACTCGAGCACCTCGTGGTGTTGCAGGAGGATCTGCTGGAGGTCTGACGGGAACTGTGCGCAAAGGTCGGGGTACAGATCAGCAACGTGCGAGACGAATTCGACGAGATCCTTCAGGTCTGCAAGACCCGTGCCTTGTGTCGAGGGGCTCTGGAGGAACAGGTCGCGCAGGGTCTCGTACTGCTGCCACTGGTTGTTGAAGTCGTCGCGGTAACTCTGCGGGTCGCGCTTGATCTTGAAGCGGAGCGCGGCATGGTCCGCCTCGATCTTTTCGAGAGCGCCGACCTTGCGCTTCATTTTGCTGTGTGCGGTGGCCTGGTTTTGCTATGTGTGGTGGGCTGGGAGGCTGCCCGCGTCCTGACTTGCAGCACACAAGACACCCGCCCGTCTCTAACTTTTTTTTGCGGGGAATGCACTGCATCGGACAAATCAAGCCACCGTCGACCGAGCTTGGACCAGTTGAAACCTGTCGAATCTTTTCTAGCCCTCGACAGCTCCCATCCCGCTCCATCCAGCTGTCCGCGCACTTGCTTCTCCCGTACAGGGCGTCATTGCTGTTCCATCGCGTCGTGACGGCAGTGTACACGCGCTCCCCACTCTCCGACGCGTCGCGTAGCAGTGCCTGGGCCAGCGCCCGCAGTCGCCCAACATGACTACCTTCTCCTCCATGTCCTTGTATGCCCTGACGGTCAAGCAGCCGTCGGCGACACAGGACGCTATCTCCGGGGACTTCCTTGGAAACGGCAAGCAGCAGATCCTCACAGCCAACGGCTCGCGCCTGGCCATCCTCGAGGTTTCGCGGCGGCAGAAGGGCTTCCAGGAGATGTACTCCCAGGATGTCTTTGGCATCGTGCGTCGCATCGCCAAGTTCAGGGTCGCGGGCGGCACAAAAGGTATGTCCAGTCCTTCTCTACACGCTATAAGCCAGTTTAGTGATTTTCGAAAGCAGCCCCCCTCCCCTCCCCCTCCCCCTCCCCCGAGCCCGTGGCGGACTGGCGTATGAAGACATCTGAGAACCCTCGCTGACAAAACAGACCACATCGTCATAACCACCGACTCGGGTCGATTAGTCACCTACGAGTACGTGCCGGACGAGCACAGCTTCAAGACGGTCCACTTCGAGACGTACGGCAAGTCTGGAATACGGCGCGTCGTGCCGGGCGAGTACCTGGCGGCCGACCCGAAAGGGCGCGCCATCATGGTCGCGTCGACGGAGAAGAATAAGCTCGTCTACATCCTTACCCGCAGCGGTCACACGGACATCGCCATATCCTCGCCCCTCGAAGCACACAAGCCACAAACACTGGTCTTCTGTCTCATTGGGCTGGACGTTGGATACGACAACCCCATGTTTGCTACGCTGGAGGTCGACTACTCGGCCGCAGAGTCGGATCCCTCGGGCGAGGCGTACGACGAGATCAAGAAAGAGCTGGTCTACTACGAGCTCGACCTGGGCCTGAACCACATTGTGCGCAAGTGGGCCGAGCCCGTAGATCGCACCGCGAACACGCTCTTCCGTGTCCCAGGAGGCCCAAACGCACCAAGCGGAGTCCTTGTCTGCGGAGAAGACAGCATTACTTACCGCCGCATCTTCAACAACAAGTCGGGCGTGCACCGGCTAGCCATTCCTCGCCGAGAGGGAGCCACAGAAGACCCGAGCCGCAAGCGAACCATCGTTGCCGGCACACTGTACTCGCTCAAGGGCGGTGACTTCTTCTACCTGCTCCAGACCGACGACGGCGATCTGTTCAAGCTTACCGTGGAAGCTACCGATGGCGCAGTCGACAAGATCAAGATCAAGTACTTCGACACGATCCCGGTCGCGACAAGCATCTGCATCTTGAGGGCGGGTTTCGTTTACGCTGCCTGCGAATCGGGCGACCGGATTCTGTACGAACTCGAGTCACTGGGAGACGAGACCGACGACCCTCTGTTCGACAGCAGTCAATTCCCGTCAGACCCGCACGCAGCCTTCGCACCTCCATTCTTCAAGCCACGCGCCCTGGTGAACTTGACCCCCGTCGAGACCATCCCTAGCTTGAACCCGATCATGGGTATGGAGGTCGCCAATCCTGCGCTGGAAGATGCGCCTCAGATCTATACCATCAACGGCGCCGGTGGTCGCAGCACGTTCCGCACCACGAGGAACGCTTTGGAAGTGCTCGATCTCATCGAGTCACCGCTACCGCAGAACGCCTCCGATGTTTGGACAACAAAGCTGACATCGGAGGATGAACATGACACGCTCATTGTCATGTGTCTGCACAGCCGAACGCTGGTCCTCAAGATTGGTGACGACGTCGAGGAGGCAGCGAACACTGGCTTCCTGGCTGACACAAACACTCTTGGCGTACAGCAGTTTGGAGAAGACTGCATCATCCAGATCCACCCCAAGGGTATCCGTCACATCCAGGGCATCTCGTTCCCCGACGATGATGCTAACGCCACACATGCCAGCTTGACAGACTGGCAACCACCGGCGCACAGGACCATTGTTGCATGCGCTACCAACAACCGTCAGGTTGCTATCGCGCTTAGCTCGGGCCAAATTCTCTACTTCGAGTGCGATTCTGATGGTTCGCTTGCCATGGCGGAGGAAGAAATTGCTCTGGACAGCACCATCAACTGTCTGACCATGCCTGATGTGCCCGAGGGCAGCGTGCGGGCTTTCTTTATGGCAGTCGGCTGCAGCGATCAGACGGTGAGGATCTTCAACCTGAGTCCTGACATGGAGGGCAACATTCTGCGAAGCATCTCCGTCCAGGCGCTCACATCACCACCGAGCGATCTGACAATCAACATGATGGCCGACAAATCACCGCGAGGCTACAGTCAGTACCTCCACATCGGTCTGCGGAGTGGTGTGTACATTCGATCCGTTTTGGACGAGATGACTGGTGACATTGGAGATACTCGGAGACGTTTCCTCGGCCCAGAACCTATCAAGTTCGCCAAGGTAACTGTCGCTGATGAGCCTGCCATCATTGCTATGACCTCGAGACCATGGCTCGGCTACACTCACCCACGGACTGGTGTTCTGCAGCTGACACCTTTGAACTACATCCCCTTCAAGTCTGCCTGGAACTTCGAAGGCACACAGTTCAAGGGTATCATCTGTGTGAGCGCTGCTGAACTACGGTACGTAACTCTACCCTCTTTCCTTCACGACTGCAATGATGATACTTTGTACCCCTTAACAACAACAACCGTGTGGGCCAAACTTTTATTCCAATTGTTCCTGCTGAAACGCAGTCTGATTTTTGCTCTCGATACTACACGATCGATTCGAGGACCATCGGCTGACTGTCAACAGAATCTTCACCTTTAACGACTTGACGGACAACACGACTTACGAGACAATACCATTGAAGTACACGCCGAGGAAAATGGTCGGTCACCACGACCAGGGTGTCTTCTACGTCATCCAAAGCGAGAACAACACCCTCAACGATGCCACACGACAGAACCTTATTCAGGAAGCGAAGGCCAAGAAGGCAAACGGTGTCAAGGCCGAGAATGGAGCTGATGGCGAGATGGACATCGACGGAGAGGCTGCTGGCGATGAGCTTCCAGCAGTCGAATTCGGCTACCCACGAGTCCAAGGTCGCTGGGCCTCCTGCATTCAAGTTGTCGACCCCGTGACCGAGAAGGCCGTTACGCATACGGTGGACCTGCCTTCAAACCAATCGCTGGTCAGCGCTGCCTTGGTCTACTTCGACAGCCGTGGCGAGGATGCCTTCCTTGCCGTCGGTACTGCGAAAGACCTGACTTTCACACCCTACAAATTCTCTGGTGCGTCGATACAGATCTACAAGATCTCACCGACAGGTCGCGAGCTTGAACTGTTCCACGAGACAGATGTAAACGAGCCCCCGCTAGCTTTGCTCGCTTTCAAGGGCAAGCTCATCGCTGGCGTTGGGCGAAACCTTTGCCTTTACGACTGCGGTATGCGCTCGCTTCTTCGAAAGGCGCAGGCCTCGAACTGCGTGAGCACTCGCGTCACGGATATCAAGACCCAGGGCAGCCGCCTGGTAGTCTCCGACCAAGTTGAGTCCGTCACATACGTTGTCCACAAAGATCAAGTCCACCCCAACCGACTGATCCCCTTCGTCGATGACACAATCTCGAGGCATACGACCGCCACCGAGATGCTTGACTACGACACTACTGTTGGTGGTGACAAGTTCGGCAACATCTGGCTTGTACGCTGCCCACAGAAGGTCTCGGAGGGATCCGACGAATCACCCGACGGTTCTGACTTGCTCGTCGACAAGAGCTACCTTGGTGGCACAGCGAACCGACTCGACCTCGTCACACACTACTTCGCCAACGACATCCCCGTGTCGATACAGAAGACCATCCTTCTGTCCGGTGGTGAGCGCATCATCTTCTGGGCCGGTCTGCAAGGCACACTGGGTGCCCTCATCCCCTTCACATCACGAAGGCAGCACAAGATGTTCCAGCAATTGGAGCTGCAGCTCCGGTCCGACGATCAGCCGCTGTCCGGTCGCGACCACCTGGCTTTCCGTAGCTACTTTGCTCCTGTCAAGAGCACCATCGATGGCGATCTGATCGAGCGTTTCTTGGTCCTGTCAAGGGATAAGCGCGAGAGCATTGCCGCACAGCTGACGGGTGCTGAATGGACGCCGGGTATGATCGATGAAGCGATCTGGAACATGCGGGGTCTGTACGCCTTCTAGATGAGCTGGAATCGTTGGTGTAGACTTGCATGTGCCTGGTCGTACCATCTGTAGTGTTATATAGTGATCATGTTGACCTTTGATACCCAATACAACCATTCCAAGCAAGCGTCTTCCCGTCTTCTGCAAACGAGGGTATTATCCGTCACCAGCCCACAGCATCTATGTTTCCATGTACTCTCTAACTGTAAACTGTCCCGTCACCGCGTCAGCGCTTGACTTGCCCGCATTTCGCCTTGGTACACGTCGCATGATTGCTAGGCGAAGAACAAAGCAACACATCTGAACGTCGTGCCTTCGCAGTCCATACATTTCCTGTTTGGTGTAAGCCGTGTCAGGGTAAAGAGTCGACGGGGGCTAGCACACGGGCTGTGCAGCGTAAAGGCCGTGGCGCCACTTGGTGCAGGCAGGGACTTGGTGCAGGCAGGGACTTGGTGCAGGCAGGGTTTGGTGGCTTCGGCCGTGGCGTCGGTGTGCAGGCTGGCAATGATTTGTTGGAGGTTAGGTGTGCTGGGCAAGTCGGCTTTCTGCGTCGCAAGAATGAAGATGCTGTTTCTTGCTTTGATGCATGAAGGCTTCTTTCTGTTCATGGTTCAACCGAAGGCTCAGCCTTGTGACGCCTTGTGATGGAATGGATCGGCGTCGTTCCTGCACCTGCACCTGCACCTGCACCTGCGCTCCTCACCTTGGACCATGGGCAACCGTGGTCATCCGTGGAGGATAGGCGACAGCGGTGTGCCGGGACATGTATCATGTGTTGTAGCATGGTTGTCTTCTGGATTTAGCCCGTAATGCGTATGTTGTCCTAGCCGCTAGAAGCGACAGAATCCACTGTTACCGGTTTGAAGCGTTCGTTCATCCCAAGCTGTATTTCGTAGCCTTGACTATTGACTATTGACTAAATTCGGGCACATTGAAATCTGACGGATTCCCTGACACGAATCGTTGTGCTCGCAAGTTTCACATTGGGTATTCGCTATTCGCTATCCAACGTGATGCTGTGTAGGCTATTGCACTCAAGTCAAGCCATGTCCGTAGACTCAAGATGTCGAAGCAGATACTGAGCCGCCATCGGGGTACTCGGCCTTCTCCTTCCCCTTGCCGCTCTCATCAGCCTGTGCAGTCGTAGGCTGTTGAGCCCTCTCTTTGCCCTTTTTACTCGGTCCGGCGTCCATGAAGTTCTCGCCCAGAGTCTGCGTAGCGTTTCTCTCCAGCACCGGCTTCTCACTGGCACTGCTTTCCATTTCCTCGCTCTGCTTGGTCGCCTCTTCCTCCGCCCTCCTCCTCTCTTCCTCTTGGCGTTCGCGCTCTTCAGACGCAGCAACGCGCTCCAACCTCTCCCTCTCCTCCTGCGCATGCACCATCCTCTCGCCAATCCCCGGCCACAGACTCGCGACGAAAATCGCAACGCCTCGCTCAAGCGTCCTCATGCTTTCCCTCGCCCAGCCGAACTGATTGTTCCGCTGTTGTAGGAGAAGGCGACGAGCTGCCTCTTCAGGCGTTAGATTGCGTCTTGCCTCGCCTGCACCGTTCGCTTGATTCTGATTTCGATTCTGGTCCGTGCCACGGCCCTGAGCGATGTGCTCCGCATTCGGAAGCAGGGCTTCGAAATGCTGTCTGACGACATTGAACTGTGCTTCGAAAACACCCAGCTGAAAAACATACACAATCACGGCGATGCTACCCAGCATAAGCGGGCGATACCATCCACCACCGCCAGCGAAAATGTACACGAAGCATGCGAGCTTGAAGATGAGCCAGAGGTGCCCTGCTACGTTGCCCACACGGTCGTTTTCGGCCGGTGCATCGGGATCAACGGGAGGTGCGTTTTCAGCCTGGCGCTCGTTGCGGTTTTGAATGTTTTGGATCACGCGTTGGGCTGCGGCTTCGTCGAGGGCGTAGGGCGGCTGTGCGGGCTGTGCTTGGGCAGGCGGTTGTGTTGGTGTTGGCTGGATGCTGCCCATCTGGTTATGCAAGTTTTGAGAGCTTTGGGCGATTTGTTGGCCAAGGCCGGCAATGAGTTGGCGGTTCTGGTTGAATTGGTCGATGAAGGTTTGGGAAGACAGGTTCGAGGTGAACGGCGCGGTTGTGTAAGTTCCTCGCTGATCAAATAGAACGCCGACCGGTCCATGGGGACTAGAAAGGAGAAATAGTTCCTGGGGTGCATCGGACGGTAGAGCCCGTGTTGCAGCTGATGCTGTTGCAATCAAGGGATCGGATGCAGCTGCAGCTGAGGTGCCCGGTGACGTCGAGTGGGCCAACTCAGACCTCATTCCAGCCTCGTGTGCGTCCAAGGCGCTGCTGAACTCGTTCGCCTGCCTCCTGACTTCGCCGGCCGCCTGTCGCAATGCAATCACGTCCATGTTGAGTTGCATGGCTGGATCAGAGAGGCCACTTTCGACCATGTTCAGGTTGTGCGTGATGGTTCGCAAGTGTTCGCGAATACGCTCAGCGCGCCAACTGGGGAATGTTGCAGAACTAGATGTAGATTGCGCACTCGACAAAGCGTCTTCTACAGCAGAAGGAGCGAGCAGAGTTCGCACGTTGTCCACTTCGCGAGCCGCCTCCTGCAGGGTTCCTCGAAGCCTCGGTAGAAGCCAGCTTAGAGGTACATGTACTCCGCCTGGTGCAGGTGAGCCAAATGGACGGGGTGGGACGGCGAAGGCTGCTGGATGGGGTACAGGTCGTGGCATGGTTGGCTGTCCAGGTCGCAGTGGTATGTTTGCTGTGAAGTCGTTGTATGTGACAGACCAGCGCGCGCCATTTGGCCCGATTCCCTCCTGCCGTACCGTCCTGCCATTTGGTGCTGGTATGCCGCCGAACCCTGGTGGAAGGATACCCGCAGGAGGCGCTCCAGCTCCATCTGCCGGCGCAGGCGCAGGTGCAGCACCATCTGTTTGCTGTGTTGGCGGAGCTGGAGCTGGCGTAGGGGTTGGAGTGCCGCGCTGCCCTAATGCTTGGGCGATCTGCTGCTGCATCTGCGGTGGAAGCGGCACGGCACCCATGGGACCCAGAGGGTTGAGGGGCTGCTGTACATGGTGGTGATGGTGGACATGCGGGTGGTGTGCATGATGGTGGTGGTGGTGCGACTGCAGGCCAGCCTGTGGCTGCGAGTTTGGTCGAGGCTGTGGTATTGCTCGAAACGGGTTGGTCTGGAGTGCAGGACTCGCTGGTGGTGGTGCTTGCGCTGGGCGGAAGGGACTCGGCGGGGCAGTCGCTGTGCGTGGAGCTGGTGTAGACAAGGTCGAAGAGGCATGCGGCAGTTCCCGGAGGACGAGATGCAGGCTTTGGCTTTTGGATTCACGGATCTGGAGCTTCCATTAGCTTCCACGTGTGAGGATGAGAGCTTCATGGCTCACGTTCTCTGCGCCGAACACCGTCTCCAGCGTGTCAGCGTCATTCGCTACAACCTTTCCCCTGTAGATCAGGCGCATGCGCTCAGGTCCCGGCTTGGAGGCCACCGCCTCTTGGATCTTGAGCCGGAGTTCTCTCACGGTAGTCGATGCGGGGAGGTCTTGCAGGTGGATGCCGCCCTCGATTTCGCTGGACGGCGACAAGACCTTCAGATTGATGGTCAACGTGTCTTCCGCCATATTGTATCACTGGATGGGCAGGTGGAGAGTGAGGTGGTCGGAGTCGGCGTGCTACTGCGTGTTTGCATACGTTGCGTTAATGGCCCGGTATGGTCAGCGCGGTCTTGCCATTTGTGACAAGAGTGCAATCGCAGTGAAAGTCAAACACTCGGAGTGCAGCAAGACCCGTCTTGCTGCAGCGAAACCGCAAACTGTCTTTAGCCCACGGTGACTGTACTCCAAGCCAGCTTGTACGCGACGCGATAGAGGTTCCATGGTTCGACGGCTCCGCCGAGGCGATCGCCGCCGCCGCCCGACGTCATTGGCCGAAACGAAAAGATGTCTTGCTTCTCCACGACGCCCGCTCGTCATCCTCCTGCCCGCCCTCCGCCAGAGAGGCTCTTCCACGACAGCCAAGGGGTGCAACAGTGAAGCTTTGTAGCAGGTGAAGTAGACATGGCGTCGACTTGCTCCCGACAGCTCATCCGAGCCTCTACCCGACGGCGACATGCATGCTTCCAACCTGCCTCCGCACGCGCACCCGTCCCCTCGCGCAACTTCTCCTCCTCACGCCCGCTCCATGAACAACAGCACCGCAAAGAGTCTTTCCGGTCGCGGCTGGGAGCAGCCCTGGGGAAGACAAGAATCAAGTGGGAGCCGATACCAATCGCCCTAGGAGTTGGCTTCTTGGGCGCATTCCAGTTGTATCGCATTCAGAGAAGAGAGAAGCACACACAGACAGAGCAGGACAGGGGCGAGGATGTGGATCAGCACGGTCGTCCCAAGCCGCGCGAGAGGATACGGCCTAGTGGGCCGTGGACTGTCCAGGTCATGTCGACACTGCCGCTGAAGGCCCTCTCCCGCCTCTGGGGCAGATTCAACGAGATCGACATCCCATACTACTTCCGTGTCCCCGGTTTTAAGCTCTACTCTTTTATCTTTGGTGTCAAGTCAGCACTGCTCCATTCCTAATGCTTACGTTGGCAAGACTAATTGCTATACAGCCTCCACGAAGTCTCAGAACCTGACCTCCACGTCTACCCCAACCTAGCCGCCTTCTTCTACCGCACGCTCAAGCCCGGCGCCCGCCCACTTGATCCCAACCCGAACGCCGTGCTCTCTCCCGCAGACGGCAAAGTCATTCAATTTGGCACCATCGAGCACGGCGAAGTCGAGCAGGTGAAGGGAGTCACATACAGTCTCGACGCTCTCCTCGGCTCGAACCGTCCCTCGAAAGCTGAAGACAACGTCGCCAACTCGCAGGTCCGCTCCGCCCAACACATCAAGACCCCCAAAGACCAAGAAGACACCGTTCGCGCCGACGAAGAATTCGCAAACGTAAATGGCATCTCCTACACCCTCCCCAACCTCTTCTCCGGCCCATGGCCCAAGGACGGCAAGCCAGCAGAAATGCCCACAGACCAGTCCACACACTCAACTCCATCTTCTGAGGCAGAAGTCCGCGCCGACCTCGCCCTCTCTGAATCCGCTCGCCCCTGGTGGGCGCCAGCATCCCAGAAGACACCCACCGCTCTGTACTACTGCGTCATCTACCTCGCGCCCGGCGACTACCACCGCTTCCACTCGCCCGTGTCATGGGTCGTAGAATCCCGCCGCCACTTCGCGGGCGAGCTGTACTCGGTGTCGCCCTACCTGCAGCGCACCATGCCCGGCCTCTTCACACTGAATGAGCGCGTCGTTCTGCTTGGGAAGTGGCGCTGGGGTTTCTTCTCCTACACACCCGTCGGCGCGACGAACGTCGGTTCCATCAAGATCAACTTCGACCGCGAACTGCGCACCAACTCTCTGACGACAGATACAGCGGCCGATCGTGCGGCAGAACAGGCTGCTGCACGTGGCGAGCCGTACTCTGGTTTTGCTGAAGCCTCGTACGGTGGTGCTAGTCAGGTTCTGGGTGGGCATTCGCTGAAGAGGGGTGAGGAGATGGGCGGTTTCCAACTCGGTTCTACCATCGTGCTTGTCTTCGAGGCGCCCAAGGGCGTGCGACCCAGTCTTGACGAAGGGTACAAGGGCGAGAGGAACGGTGGATTCGTGTGGAACATTGAGCAGGGCAAGAAGGTCAAGGTTGGTGAGGCGCTGGGTGTTGTGCAAGAAGTCAAGCACTGAGAAGTGTTTTGACGTTACTGTTCTGGGATAGATACCACCTGAGTATATTTGTTGTATATTGTAAGATACGCAGCGATTGTCGATAATATAGTCATGAGCTGTTGAGCATTCTTCCAATGCAAAGCCACGGCGTTCCCATATCTGTCATTCGGCCATCAATATCTTGCAAGCGCATGTCATGCCGTCGAACAAGAGGATGATTCACATACAGTCTGGCAGCTCCTTTCTATGCCACCTAGGTAATCTGGCTCGCTATCAATATGGGTGGCCCAAGGAGCAGGCGATCATGAGAAGACGGCAATTGCGAATTTCTCACAATCTCGTTTCAGTACGGATAAAAGTGAGTGTACCTTTCCCTTCCAGGTCAGTATGCCGTTGACCCAGACATCTGGTGTATTCGATGTATGGAGGGCCCCTCAAAAGGACCGAGACAGGATGAAGTCGGCAAGCTTCTCTTATTGAGTGTATGATCTACAACAAGCATCACAAGATGACCACAGTCTGGTTGTAGAGCACCAAGCATTCTGTAGAAATGCTAAGATATCGAAACGTTTCATGTTTATGGAGTTGTTGCTGGGCATTGGATACGAGTGCTGTGTTTAGCAGTGCGCTAACGAGATGCAGTGTAGTGGGCGGATGAAGCGTTTCATTAAGCTTTTTTGACGGGTGTAGGGACGCTGGACCTTGCGATGTGGCGATGGCCTGAGCAGAAAGGTTCTCGTACGGACGGGAGAGGCTTCGAGAATGTTGAAACTTTGATGCCGCTGCGGAAGTTGTGGGAAATGGTGGAGTGGGGTGGGCGATTCGCTGGGAGTGAGCCAGCGCGACGCTGTGCTGGCTGGTGTAGTTGCTACGCATGTAGCCGCCTGTATGACCAGCCTTACTGGCTCATCGTGTAATTGCGATGGCTGTTGGCGGCAAAGGTGGCTGGAAGCCAGGACACCGAGATTTGCGATGGCTTCAGCATTATCGAGCCCACTGCTGCTCGCTCTCGATGGCAGCGGCGTAGTGAACCGATCGAGCATGTGCAGCACCTCGGCACCGAGAGGAATTTGCTTCTATTACCCTATCGCACTCCATCGTGTGCTCGACATGCAGGAACATCCACGAAGGATCTGGTGGGTAAATGTACGTGAGTCGTGGTGTTTCCAAACAATAGACATGTAAATTCGCTGCGCAGGTCGAGTGAGTTTATGCACGCGTCCAAATCAGGACGTGGCTGTTTCGGCGCTCTCAAAACATTCTCGCTCCGGCTGTCACGATAGACGAGCATGATAGCATGATATAAACAACGCAGACTCTGGGTGGATAGGTGTTCTGACAGCGGTAGCGAGGTACCAACCAATCTCGTCATCGACTACGAAACGCGAAACAAAAAATGTTCATGCATGCCGGATAAATAGCTGTCGTGTGCTAAGCTTCAATATTCCTGCTACTATTGGGTGTTTGAGGGCCATCTTGGGATTTGCCTGAAAGACCTCGTCAGGGGTCTTAGGATGGGCATTGGGGGCTTCCTTCGGTTTTCAAGGGCTGGCGTCGCGTGGCGCAGGCGTGATCAGTGCATGACCTCTCAGCGTGGATGGCACATGTCTCTCGTTTCTCGCAACGACATCCAATGTCGCGACCAGTCAGAGGCGGTCAAAGCACGTCAAGGCAGCCCCCGTCACCCGCCCGGCAGCGGACTCAAGCGTCCGAGTCGAATCGCAAGCCCGCCCAAATCAAACAGCAGCGGAAGAAAATGTCTTAGGCGCTGATAGTGGAGATTGGCAGGGCTCTGCGGATTTTTGAACGGAGGGCAGAGGAGATTGCAAGATGAGATAGAAGCGGCGCATCGGAGGGCCGTTACGATAGATCACGGATTGGGCAGATCGGCGCCGGCATCATGAAGAGCTGTTGTTCCAGACACCCGGAGCCTGCGGACAGAAATGGATGAGCAGCTGGGTTTTTCCGTGTGGGATTCTTGGGTCCCTCGTGTTCATCTGTTGATTCTGCTGACGCAATTTCAGGGAATAGGGCGCTGTGGTGGGCTGTCTGTTAGATCTTGTAAGGACTATGCATGAGAGACTAAGCAGCCGGACAGCCTGGGAGGTTGTGTGATAAGCTGAAGGGAATATTGAGAATATCCTTGGCTGCCGTGTACGAGCACCCGATCGTATTCGATTCTTGTTGGCAGCGTAGGACAAGCGCCAGAGTGGACAGCTGCTCAAGCGCAAGACGGAGCTCGGCAGCACCGCCAATGTCAAGCACATTGGCGGCCTGGTCCGCTCGCCGGCCTCGTTGGCCACTCGAAAGACGGTGAGCTGAGCCTCTGCAGGGTTCTCATCCTGGTCGTTTCGACGTTCCTGCCAGGCACGCCTGTCGACTGGTTGGCCGCAGCCCCTGGCTTCCGGCTGGCTGTTTCACGCCGCGCGATGATTCTGGTGGGGCCAGCGCTCCATTGGCTGACCCGCGCTCATAGAGTCAAGACATGCCCTCTCCGCCCACAAGTTCGTGCTGTCCCCTCGACCAGCTCTTCACGCCGCGGATCTTTTCCCTGTTGTCCTAGATTTCATTCGCTTCTGGACGGTCCTGTTTGCTCCTTCGTTACGGCAGCAGTGTACATACAATCGTTTTTCTCTCGCCTGATCCACAACCCATTCTACGCCACACGTCACTCACTCTCACCACCCCTGGACATTCACTGAGGCTTATTGACTGCAAGGTCCCGCTCGAGACTACGCTGCTCTTCACGTTCACGTTCACTGTTGTGCCCAGCCTCCTATTCCTGGTCACTGCCTCCCTCGACCGGAAGACGTCATTTGCTTCGACAAACTCGACCGTGCTGCGCATTGTCGACGGTTCCTCTTCTTCGTCACTGTGTGCTCACTTTGGATCTCGCAGTAACACTGTACAGGACACTGTGATGCATTCACGGTGACCACCGCTCTATTTTATCCCACATTGTCAAGATCGATTGCTTTTCGACCTTTTCGACCACGCACATCGTCACCTGGGATAGAGCTTCAACAATCTTCGCGCAATTCTCCCTTTTAGCACCTTTCCACTCTCGCACCCGGTTGTGCGATATCATTCACCGACTCTTTATGTCACATTTCGCCCACTTCAACAGCCACCTTCGCTCTCCGCATTCGCATTCCTCCGCGAGCAAGGCTCTTGCGACCCTGTACAACAACAAACAAACCATCCGAGACATCGCACACATGTCTGACCTCGCCGTCTCCCCGGTGGAGACTTCCGCTCTCAACACCTCCCTCACACGGCGTCACTTCCTCGATGGCTGGGACGCCGCCGACTTCGATGGTCTCAAGTACTCGTACGGCCTGACTGGTGTCGACCAAATAGGAAACTACCTCTGGGTCGACACCTTCCTGTACATGCTGGTCGGCATGGCCATCATGCTGCTGGGCCTGCGCGTGGCTAACATGTGGTGGCGCCACAATCGTCACTTGACAGTTATGGGCAACCCTTCGCGCCAGGCGTACTGGGCTACAAACCAGACATCCTGGTGGCCCTGGCTCAACCGCCACCTCTTGCAGGCACCGCTCTGGAAGAAGAAGCACAACGCCCAGTTCCAGATCAGCAGCGCAATCGACAACGGAACACTTCCTGGGCGATGGCACACGGTTATGCTCGTTGTTTATGTTGGGTTGAACACGGCGTGGTGTGTTGCGCTTCCGTACAGCGTTTTGGACCACAAGGAGACCGTTGCTGCGCTGCGTGGGCGCAGTGGAACATTGGCCGCGTTGAATTTGATCCCCACGATCCTCTTCGCTCTCCGCAACAACCCTCTCATCACACTCCTCCAGGTCTCGTACGATGACTTCAACCTCTTCCACCGCTGGGCCGCTCGTATCACTATCCTGGAGGCCATCGTCCACACCATCGCCTGGATGTACAACACTGCCGAAGGTGCAGGTTGGCAAGCAGTCTCCAACGGTCTCGCTCACGAAGGTTCCTACGGCTGGGGTATGGTCGGCACCGTCGCATTCACCTTCCTCGGTATCCAAGCCTGGTCGCCTTTCCGCCACGCCTTCTACGAGACCTTCCTCTCCATCCACCGCCTCATGGTCATCGCCGCCCTCGTCGGTCTCTACAAGCACCTCGAGCTCCACGCCCTGCCTCAAGTCCCCTGGATGCACCTCGTCTTCTTCTTCTGGGCCGGCGAGTGGTTTTGCCGCCTCGCCTCAATCACCTACTACGGCCTCTCCCTCAAGCAAAAGTCCCGCATCCGCGTCGAAGCCATGCCCGGCGAGGCAGTCCGTGTCACCATCGACATGGTCCGCGAGTGGACACCACGCCCCGGCTGCCACGTGCACATGTGGATGCCCGCCATGGCCGGACTTCACAGCCACCCTTTCTCCGTCGCCTGGGCGCCAACTCTTACCCAAGAGTCCAAGGAAATGACGCTCCCCATCCTCGAAGGCAATGCGCTCATGGCCCCCGGCGCTCCCCAAAAATCCAAACAAATCTCTCTTATCTGCCGTGCGCGAACGGGCCTGACACGAAAAATGTACGAGCGCGCATGCAAAGCCCCCAACGAGACTTTCTCGACATGGGGCTTCATCGAGGGCCCCTACGGCGGCCACCACAGCCTCGACTCCTACGGCACTCTTGTCCTGTTCGCGGGTGGTGTAGGGATCACGCACCAGGTCATGTACCTCAAGCACCTGATCAACGGCTTCCACCGGGGCACCACCGCCACACAGAAAATCGTGCTAATCTGGACGGTGCCTGACAGCGATTGCCTGGAGTGGGTGCGGCCGTGGATGGACGAGATTCTGCGCATGCCTGGGCGCAAGCAGTGTCTGCGCATCAAGCTGTTTATCTCGAGGCCGAAGGGGCGCGTGGAGAGTAGCAGCGACACGGTGAAGATGTTTGCAGGTCGTCCGAAGATGGATACCCTGATCGAAGAGGAGGTGAGGGGACGCGTGGGTGCGCTGGCGGTTACGGTGTGCGCGTCTGGTGGTATGGCGGATGGTGTACGTGCCGCTGTTCGTCCGTGGATGACGGAGGGGTGTGTGGACTTTATTGAGGAGGCCTTCACCTATTAGTGGCTTCTCAATCCACACCTCTCACCTTCATCTTTACCACTCCGTCTGCACAGTACTTTCGCATCACACCGCATCGCTCCACCTATCAACACCTCATCCTTACTCTTCGTCACCTAGAGGCTTCGTGCTAAGGGCCTTCCATCTTCTTCACTTCTTGTATATTCTTCTTTCTAATCATTTACTTGTTGTACCCATCATGTCTCTCCTTGAATCTTGCATGAGCGAAGCGCTGACGTGCGAACTGAAGCATAGCGTTGCTTAGAGGCATTACATGAAGCCATGGCGTTGCTTTTGTTTTCTTGTCCTCTCTCTCTTTCATAGTCTTAGCATCGGTGGTAGATGGAGCGTAGATACCAGATCTAGAGTCGAGATCGTACTAGTCGAAGCATAGCAGCATAGTAGAGTCGTAATAGCTCGAACCGTCGAAAAGCTCAGTTAAACAAACACCAAACACGTTCCAAGCAAGTCATACGTGAAGCAAAGAGGTGAGAGTCCGAGGAGAATCTTGGGGGGCTATGATGTACTTGATGGCATGCGCTTGGTCCTCGAAGCCACGACTTAGACAAAGAGCCGCAAAACAAAGAGCCCTGGCCTAGAATAGCCGTGCAGCAAGCCACATAAGTGCACGGGCTGAGATCCTGTACTCCTTACGTTCGCACCTGCCAAATGAAAGGAGTTGACAGTAAAGTCCAAACCTGTGGGTCGAACAACCCCCCACTCCGAACCAAAAACACCTTTCAAACACTTTGCACCTCAGCACCACTAGTTTCTAAAGCTGCAGTCAATCTAGTATTGTTCTTGAGATGTTTCCTCCTCTAGAGTCAGTACGCAGCAAGAAAACTACGACGTTTTCGGGGGTGCTGTAGACCATCCTGTTGACAGCATCAGAAGTTGCAACAACTGTGTACCACTGCTATACCACCACCTAGATTCGGATCAAACGGAGCCTCTGGAGGAGCCGGCGGTCTTGTTGGTCTTGAACTTCGGCTTAGGAAACTCGGTGAGACTGCAGAAGACCACTTGTTTTGATAACCACAACAAACGTGCGACAGATCGACGCTCTCTCATGCGCAAGCCAGTGTCTGCTACATACTTAGCCTAAGTTGGAACCAGCGCTGATGCGAGTCTTGTGATCTTACCTATGCGTGCTTCTGGGTGGTGATTGTGAACAGGTTGCGCTTGACGACACCGAGAATTAGACGCTTATCGATCGCAGACCCTAGCGACCCGTAAATCGTGTTCCTTTCATGCATGAAGAGCTTGGTATCGAGACTTGGTGGCGAAGTGCATGCCGGGCGACTTCCGGGGTTGCTGATAGCGAAAGAATTTATCAAAACGTCTGGATCGCTATGTATGGCAAGCGCTTCATGTAGGACCTAGGTGGGTGCAAGCCTTTTGGCTATCCGGCGCTGGCCGAAGAACGATGCTTGTATACTTTGTACGCGACCAACGTACGATCGTAGAACAAGACTCAAGCCAGGCTCATTGATGCCCAGATGTGTGACAAGCGCTTGCGCGGCTACGTAGGCCTTTCGATTGGCGATGAGGAGACGCGGTGCAAAATGCATGCTGTCTCCCAGCTTCATTGTATGGTCCGTCATCCTCTTTGCTAATGCGCTTGCGCTTCTTCGAGTCCGTGCTTGGAGGCGGCTCAATCCTGTACTTGCCAGAAAGTGCTGGTGACAGTTTCAACGGCGCAGTAGACGGGGAAACAGTCGATTGCGTACTATTAGGTGATGATCCAAGGTTTCGTATCCAAACTGGAGAGCCGTAGTCTTTGCTGTCAACGAAGCTTACGGGCGTCAAAGGTGTTGGGTGCGTCTCAGGTTCCAGCCATTTTATGTACTCCATCTTCTCGGTGTGCACCTGTTCCTGTTCACGAATGGTTTGCGGCGTATGTCCGGTGCGATACTCGAGCGCCTCTTCGCCGAAAAGCTCGCGGCGTGTGAGGTTCTGCTCGCGGAGCTGGCGGAGGCGGTAGCAAAGGTTTTCGTGGAAGTCGGGGTCAACGTGGAGCGGATCAACAGGCGTGTTAGCCGCAGGGAGGTTCGCCCAGTAACCGCTATACATGATGGCAGGGTTGGCCCGCGGGGGCGCATGAGGTATCGATGGGTTGCGATGCAGGTGCTATTGTCCGTCCCTACGTGCCGGGACGCACGGTGTAACAGGACAGGTTCGTACTTTGGACCTTCGCCATCTCTTCTTTGCACATTTACAGACCTGTTATGACATGTGATGTTTTTCAGCATCCCTCCCCAGGTTACCAGTCTCTGGCGACGATTGCTGCCACGTTGGCCCTGCCATTGATCATTTCGTCAATGCCGTCAATTGACCCTTCGTCAATACCCCTGTCCATTCGCAACCTGAGCGATCTCCATGAAGATCGGAGGGTCTAATAGAAAGCGAAGTTGAGGAAGATTGTGTCCCTAGGCATCAGAAGCTCTTTTGACTAAGGAAGTGTGCAGTCCGGCAGTTTCGCCAGTCAGGAGTGAAGATCGCAAGAGACGGCCCACCAGGTCGGGATGCGCTAGCGTCACTTCGCTTGCGGCAGCATGCTGTAGCGTGCTAGGATATGCCCGCAAGATGCTATGAATCCTGTTTCCGACGCTATACCTAAAGTCTATCCCTGCGGCCAAGCTCCACGTGCAATCTACCAGGCTGGAGATGGAACTTGACAGAGCCGTTGATGGTCTGAACTTGAAGGCTATGGTCGACGTCGCCAAAGGTTGCCGTCGATGTCGTAGGAGCCATGGTATCGCTGCAGCAGAGCATGCATCAGCGGCGGGGTGTCTGTGGCGATGAGTCTGTGGTGATGCAGTCTGCCGCGCAGCGCCTCCTAGGCTTCAGCCTGGCAGCCAGATCTACAGTTGGGGCCAAGCATGCATGCATGCGCCTGATCGTCAGCCTGCTCGCTCCGCCAAACTCGCCCATGTTCCGTGCCTACGTGGATTCGCAGCGTACCCGATAGACTGTGATCACATAGCTCCACCAAGGAAGTCTGTGCATCACGATGGACACGGACAAAGTCATCCGGCTAGGCCTGTATCCTACGTTACGCGCAGGACAAAGTATTAACTTGAACGATCAGACCTCACTGCACCCCATTCATGCCAGTCTCGAGAAATAACATGGGACGAACAACTACAGGCAAGTGAAGCAAAGGATCTGTGTCAATGGGTGGAAAGTGAGCAGAATTGTGATGTATTTACAGCTATCTACATGGGTTTATCTACCTCGAGATGAGCTGTCGGCGCTAGCTGGAAAGAGGAAGGCGCGGAGCGTATGAAAGGTGGGAGGCAGTGAAGGTGCCTGGCTGACAATCTGCAAGTAAGGGACTGACTTCGTTATAGGACGCCCACGCTGCACGCGTCTAAGTTGTGTAAGTCGCAGACAGCAGCTTTGTTCGTGACCTAACACGCAGAAGATTCGCGTCTGTCAGATCGTTCTTGAGCACTGCGTCAGAACTTCAGAAAAAGCTTAGAGGCAAGCTCAAGATCCCTTCGTTCTTCTTTGACAGGATGCATCTTCAGTCAAGCAGATTTTGCGGACACGACGTCTGGCTAGACAAGGACGAAGAGGTGGAGTTCTACAGTATGTACAGTAGCGCTGGTAGAACACCGTCGGAAGTTACTCATCAGGCTCCAGCGTACTGGTGTCGCTTCACCGTCAAGCAGACGTACGACAAGCTACAGCCAAAGAGGATGTTCACACTGCACATCTCCGACCACCATTCCAGCCTCGGCGAGTGGAACGCGGACATCGCAATACATGGGTTGCAGAGTGCGCGGCACAGATGGGAATGGTACGAGATGGAGTTCTTCGCTTACTGGACGCAGTCGGAGCCGGTCACGCTGATATGCTTCGATCTGCCTGCGAAGTCGCAATCGGATATCCAGTCAATGTGTTCCGGCCGCAGGACGTCTCTCGTTCCTGTCCTTACGCCGTGTTTCCGCAGGTCTTGGATGCGCTGCTTCGACTGTATTATGACTCGGTCTGGGCAGTCAGGAACCACATCAGTCAGTATGAAGCCGTAAGTCTTGTTTCCCATGCTTGTTGGTTAGCGGTAGTGAGGCCTATCAGCGACAGAGGAGGTCACAAGAGACCGACTACTTCCTTCTGCACGAGATTGCGAGACACGGGGTGGATGTCAGCGAGACCCTCAGCGTGGTCACACAGTCCCTCGACGCCATGTAGCATCATCACGAGACGTTCCGTACAAACAGCGACCTCGCCCGCAGCAAGAACGGCCGCAGACGCTGGGACAACATCGGCAGTCGCTTTGAGTTCCAGCTCGGCTTTCTCCAGGGCTTGCTTGAACGGTCTGAAGAAAACGACGCAAATCCAGAACAAGATCACTCTTGTAAGTCCAGTCTACGATGGACAGTATGTAGCAGCCTCCCAAGCTTACGATATCAGGCTTTCAATGCTGCCGCACAGAGGGATAGCAAGGTCAGCTGCAGATAGGAGAGGAAGCTAAGAGAGAAGCGTCAGCGATGAAGGCAATCGCTGTGGTCACGATGACTTTCTTGCCAGCTACCTTTGTTTCTGTGAGTGTTCCGGCCCCTTATACACTGCTTCTGATACGTTCATGTGTAGCTGATACAACCTATTGAATATACGATCTTTGGAACCAACTTCTTCTCGTTTGAGCCTGACAGAGATGCTGGACGATCATCCTTTGCTGTGTCCCCTCAGTTCTGGATATACTGGGCACTTTCTGTTCCGCTGACTGTAGTAACGCTTGCTTGTGGTTCTGGTGGAGCAGCTGGGCTAAGCACTTACGGCTCTCAAGGTCCAGATTCGGTGCCCTTCGCGCTAAACGCACTGCGCCATAAGAATAGGGTTCGGATATTGTGGAAGGATTGAGATGATTGATTGATCCGTAGAGCTATGGCGAGGATCCATCGGGACTATATAGTAGAAGGGAATAGCCGTGAACGGGTATGGAAGCAAACCCGAGCTAACCGAATGAGCTGGACAATCAGTGCAGCGGACCGTTAGCAAATACTGCAACGGACCGCTGGCGAACAGATATACACGAAGTGATATAGTTGGCTCTATAGAGGAAAGCTTGAGAGACGAAGTGAAGTTCTGATTTAGAAAAGTCGATTGGCGATTATAACAAGGCTGAAACGTAGCCGAGTGCTGCTGCCTGAACCCTCTTTCAACAGCCGTTGCTCGTGTCCGCCCACTGCTATCCACCATCCTACATGCTCTTCATCTTAAGTGTTGTCGCAAGAGGCACCTGTCCACCACAATGACTAGGAACCATAGGTTCACTATAGGATGGATTTGCCCTCTCCCGCTAGAGAAAGAGGCTGCAAGGCTGGTGCTGGACGAAGAGTACCCGCAAGATGAGGTCCAGTACCAGAATGCATTCTACCTAGGCGGTCGGATTGGAAAACACAAGGTTGTCATCGGAGTGCAACGAGGAATAGGACTTAGTCATGCGACAACCCTTGCCGAGAAGATGCGCGCTGGATTTCCTAACATCAGATACTTTCTCCTGGTTGGCATCGCTGGCGGCGTGCCTCGCTACGGACCACCTGGTGCGGCTTCGGAGATTGTGCTTGGGGACGTGGTTGTCAGCTATCCACGAGGCAACCATGGCGGGGTGTTGCAGTACGACAAGGGCGCGTGGAAGGGTCAAGGGCGACTGAACTTTCGCGGGCACACAAACGGCGTTCCTGGCGACCTACTGGCCGCGGTCAACAACTTCCGCGCGGAAGGCTGGTCCAAGACGAACATCACAGACGTCTTGAAGCAGATGCGGCGCAAGCTTGACGAGAGGCGACAGCATCAGTACGACGACCCGGGCCCTGATTCTGACCGGCTCTACAAAGACACTTATGAGCACCAAGATACGGAGCTGGACGACTGCGGAGCATGCTGTGACGCAAAGTACATCGTTTCACGCTCTGCTCGAGGACATGCGGCTACCCGGTCGGTTGACCAGCCGTCCGTCCATTTCGGCAACATTGCATCGAGTAATCAGCTGCAGATATCCGCCGTCGAACGAAACAGAGTCCAACGAGAGCACGACGCCATCTGCTTTGAGATGGAAGCAGCAGGGGTGATGCACGAGTATCCTTGTGTAGTCGTTCGGGGCATCTGCGACTATGCAGACTCGCACAAGAACAAGGGCTGGCAGAACTACGCGGCAGCTACGGCGGCAGCGTACGCTAAAGGGCTGTTGTCTAGGATCCCCACAGTCGAGAACAGTGGGTCCGTGGTAGCGGAGCGGGATCGCAGCAAAGGTGAGCGGCTGGGCGGGTGCTATATTAATTGCCGCCAACGACAAACTGACAATCTGGCTTCGCAGATGCTAGCCCAGCCGGTAACGTGCACTGGATGGTGCCGCGCACAGTCAACAGTCTATTCACTGGACGCAGCGAAGTCATAGAGCGGATGCAGAGCGCCCTGCGTGACGATGATTCAAGTAAGGCCAAACAGAAGCGAGTGGTCATCACTGGCATAGGGGGCATGGGCAAGAGCGAGGTGTGCCTGAAGGTTGCCGATCTGATGCGAGAAGAGTGCGTGGGCCCTGCATGCTGTCGCTGTCAAGAGAGACGAGCGTTTGGCTGACGAGCAACAGCTTCTGGGGCGTGTTTTGGGTGGACGTCGGCAGCCAGTCGACTGCTAAGAACGATTTCCTAGCCATCGCGAAGGCGCTCGGATCGGCTGCGGAGAGCGTGGACGAAACGCTCCGAGTGCTCGCCAACACCAAGAAGCGCTGGCTGCTAACCTTGGACAACGCCGACGAGGTCGACGTCGACTACGCACGATACATGCCGTCTGGGGTGCAGGGCGTAGTCATTGTAACGTCGCGCAACCCGCAGTGCAGCCGGTACAGCACCGGGCCTGCAGAAGCGCTCGAGGGCCTGGACGCAGAGCACTCAACGCAGCTTCTGCTCAAGGCTGCTCGAGTGCCGGAAGAAGCTTGGCGGTCGTGCGAGACGCAGGCGCAAGCACAGAACGTTGTGCGTCTGCTGGGATCGCACACGCTTGCGCTGATCCAGGCTGGCGCGTACGTAGCCGAAGGGTTCTGTCAGCTGGCTGAGTATCCCAAGAAGTATCAGCAACAGCGCAAGCGGCTGCTTAAGTACAATCTAACGCAAGAGCAGTCGCGGTATCGAGACGTGTTCGCTACGTTTGAGGCATCTACGGATGCTCTCGAGCGTTCTGGCAGTCAAGAGGGGCAGGATGCATTAGATCTACTCGCAGTGCTGTGCATGCTGCACTCGAGCGTGCTTCCGCTTGAGGTGTGCGAAGATGCATGGCGAGGCGCCCGTCGCGTGCTCGAAGATGTGCCTGATGAGTCGGATGGAACAGAGAAGCCAGACAAGATAGGTGACCTTGGACGATGGCACGTGGCGCAGCTGCCCAAGTTCGTTGACACAACAGCGGACGAGTGGGACGACTACCGCCTCAAGAAAGCCAGCGCCCGTCTTGTGTCACTGTCGTTGGTGACGAGGCATGCGCTGGGCGACGGCGGCGGGGGGCTGTCGACGCATCCGCTGGCGCATGCGTGGGCGAAGGAGCGGCTGGAGAAGGAGCGGCAGCGGCAGGCATGGGTGACTGCGGGGTGTGTGCTTGCTTTGTCGCGAGGGCAAACTGAGCTGTGGCAGGTGCACGAGAGGGAGCTGCGGCCACATGTGCAGTCGTTGCTGTCGCCCAGCGTGCAGATGATGCTCTCGTGTGGACCGCAAGAGGCGGTGCTAGCCGCCTTGCTGGAGTGCGGCTGGGGGCTGAACACGATGAGGGAGGACGCCAGGCTTGAGCAGCTGCTGGGCGGCATCTACCAGGCACTGCACATCAGACCGTCAGATCCGTCAAAGGAGCACGTGCCAATATGGGAGCTGGCGGCCAGGAACCTGGGGTACATGGGCCACGCGCAGGAGGCAGTAAAGCTGCTGGGGCACGTCGTCAAGATCCAAGAGACTACGCTCAACGAGGGTCACCCCGATCGGCTGGCATCGCAGCATGAGCTTGCCGGTGCATACCAGGCCAACGGGCAGATCAAGGAGGCAGTGAAGCTGCTGGAGCACGTCGTCAAGGTCGAAGAGACTACGCTGGACGAGGGTCACCC